CCGCCTCCATCACCATCACTACCATCATCACCTACTTAATACTTCAAGTACCCAGTTTTTATTCCATTAGAAAGGGTCACATAACATAAAATGCCACCAACACTCTAGAACATTCATTAGTTGCAACAAATGATTGCACAAAACATACAGAAGCAATGTCAGTGTACGTCTGAATTCAGATAGTCCGCTTATTCTGAACCCTCAGTTTACATGTGTCTTGTTCACATGTGAAACTTTCATGGAAGACAACCAAAACTATAATGACAATATTAATGACAAATTGCCAAGCAAAAGGAAGTGTAGCCATCTCAGTTTACAGCTTAAAATGAAGTAATGGGAGACTCAGTTTATTCCACAAAGAGCAATACGATGGTTAAGATTTCTTAATTATTTCATAAAACATGTTATTAAAATCCAGACATTACTACAATTCTGCTGCTGATTTCTTATTTGAAAAGTGTACTGATAGGAAAGCAGAACATTCAGCTGATGTTCCTTGGATGACTCAGAAGCCAGTACTGCTGCATTTTATTCCAGTGCAGATTTAAATTTAGCCCAAGTAAAAATATACATTCAAGTTTGATACATGACAGCAAAAATTAGAAGCAATCCAAGTGTTCAAAAAAAGTAAATGGTCAAATACATGCATTCATTCCTCAAAAGGAACATTTTGAGAACATTTAAAAAATCAGTATGAAGCTTACAGCAATATAGAAAATGTTGTGACATAATATCATGTGAAAAGCAGGATATGCAATTAAATAAAACTGTAAACCTATATGCCTATGGAAAAACAAAAGAATGTATTATGCATTAAAAATAACTCAATTTGCTAAGTTGTTTGATTTGAAACTTGGTATTTGAATTTTATATGGTATAATAGTACTTTTATCATTTGTAAAAAATATATAGTAGAATCTTGGACATGTAATAAGGGAACAGTAGACAGGATGTAGCAGTAGAGAGCCTGTCTAGTGAGTCTGTCAGTTCCACAAACTTGGGGGCATGAGGTTGCTTCTAAAACACTTCCCTTAAGAGTGACTTGATAGTTCATTGTTCTGAGGGGCTGTCCTGTGCATTGGAGAATGTTTAGCAATGACATCTATTCACTAGATGCCAGTGGGGTCCTCCAATTATGACAACAAAAAATGTCTCCAGACGTTGCAATATGTCCCCTTGTGTGGGGTAGGGTAGAGCTACTCCCAGGTGAGTTTTTACCAGGTCATCACTAATACCCTTCCAGTTCTATTATCCTAGGAGTAATTCAAAGCAAAAAATACATATATATTGGCTCTAAAAACAAAACAATTTATAAATCAGAATAAGAGTGCAGTTAGAAAAATTAAACAGAAAAACAAAACCTGTGTAAATTCCCTTAAACAAACTCCAGCCTAGTCTGAAGCAGCAAGTGTTGCTTCTCATTTCTTAACGAGCTCATTGAAAAGAACATCAGTTGAAGTTATCCTAAGGCCTGGGGCTGCTTAAAGCTAGGAGCAGGCCCTAGGCTGAGTTTGGGTTGGTATTTAAAATACATTACAAATTATCCTGTTCTTTAATTATGAAAGTAGATTAGCTGTATCTTAAGTACTGGTTAATACAGCATTTAAAAAGCATTTCACAAGAAAACATCTGCAAGCATAATACAGCATCTTTGACGAAAGTGCTAGTTTACCAGTGGGTCAATAGTTGCAATTTAATTAGAATTAAACAACCCATTTTAAAGTTACATAACGTCAAAGAACAAAGTGCATTTTGTGGCAAGAAATTAGAAGGGACTGCATGTTGCAAGGGATTTTTATATTGCAGATGTTATGTTCAAAAAGCCTGTTAGTATCTCTAGATAATCTCTACATATTTAGATCTTAAATGTGTTTTGTCAGATAGATGTTGGATGGATAGATGGATGGAATGTGTTTTGTCAGATAGATGTTGGATGGATAGATGGATGGATGTTCTTGAATAAGATAAAATTATAATCTACTTCACGTGGAACTCTTTAGCAACACCAATTCTCATTTCTATTCTGTGATTCTAGATACCCAATTGTTTTCAGCTCCATTGAGAGCACAGATTAAATCTGGCACACCAAAATGTTCAAACGTGCAGTGACCCATAAACTTCTGCCAACATCAGAATCACCTGAGCTTCTTGTTAAAACCCAGATTGTGAGTCCTGCTCCCAGAATGTCTGATTCAGTAGTCCAGGACAAGTGCTGAGAATCTGTGTTTCTAATGAGTTCCCAGGTGATGCTGATGCTGCTTGTGTAGGAACAACTCTTTGAGAACCACTGACATAGTTGATCTCAAGCTTGAGGGCATACAAATATTACCCATAGTGGTTATAAAGTTTGTAGCGTTCTCCTCCTCGTTCACACTCCTAAATATGAAACAGTAGTTATCAAGAGGGCTTAGGAATCTGTGCTTACAATGAACTTCCAGGTAATTCTGATGTGGGTTGTCCTTGGGCTGCTGTAAGTAAAAGGAGGGCCAAGAAAGGTGATAGAATTGAAGATGATTTCAATTCAAACCAGAGCAGATGGGGAGAAACAGAGAAAGAGGCATAGGTAAGAAGATAGTCAGTGATTGTGCTTCTTTTGAAAGAGGGCGATGCACAACTCATTGCCAGCTCACAGGACTCTGGGTACTACAAACTTCTTAAATGGTTAAGATTCCTGACTTTTCCCAGCCTTTCAGTTCAAGGGCAGACAGATCAGCCATCAGCCAAAAGAATTAGATTATGAATGGGTAACAAACACAGCATATGGAGGTGCTTGTGAAACTTACCAACCTTTTATTTGTGCCATACATCTGGAACTTATCAAAGCTCATTTCTGAGTGACTGAATAAAATATCTGAACTACAACTCACTCTACAGGACAGCACACTATACAGGAAGATCTCAGCAGTTTTTGGCAACTGGCTAAAGATGATTGAAAGAAAGAAAGAAAAGAATAGCACAAAGTTCCTAGAAAACACTTATGATCTTAGACTCACATTTATTTTAAAGGATTAAAAAATACACATTATCCTTCTGTCTGAAACACTCAGTGTTGCCAGGCTCTCCCAACCTGACGTAATCATCCCCAGAACTCTCAGCATACTTCAACTCACTGCAGGAGAAACTGGGTGCAGTAGGATTTACATTTTTTTCCTTGCTAGAGCTATGAACAATTATTTCTTCAGCCAAATGGGACCTTACACTAACTATACATATCTTGATTCTCAGAGAGCTGAAAAAAACCAATGAAAAGTCTTTCTTTTATACTGAACATCAGTCATTAACAATGGCTGCAGAGATGCCCTTCTTTCCTTCCTTCCTTTCATATCCAGTCATATCTGTCTTTCCTGAAAATGTTCATGCTTCTAAATTCCTAGACTCTGGAATGCTTAGCTCTAACAAAGCTATCACAAATGACAATCTGATACTCTAACCCTCTGCCAAAACACCTCTTCTTCTCTTTTTTCCCCTTTTTAAACCAAACCATAACAAATTCTTGTGCCTTGAAGGCTACTGTAATTTGCTATTCATTAAAATGAACATGCACAATTAATATCCATTAAAAGGTACAAATCTTTAATTTTCTTCTTTAGTCTGTGTCTACAAGAAAATAAAGAAAGTTTTAACTAAAAAAAATACACATTTGAATGTCTTAATGCCATGGTACTACATATATCTAGTTTTACTGCATCACTTTTTTTTGAGCTAAGGTGCCTATTTTTCAACTAATGATTGTCTTTTTTATCCTTAATTGTAGCTTGTACAAAAGTAAGTTTAGCTGTTTTAAAGATAAGGTTCAAATATCTATATTTTAGAAATAATTGTGGGGATGTAAGTGTTAAACCCAAGAAAAAAATTTTATCTGGGGAAGCTACTAAGAATGAATATTATAGTACAAAATTGGCCCCTTTTTCTCTTGTACTTACCTATTCTAACTACCATATGATACTTTTGGAACAATGCTTAAAATCTGACATTCTGCCAAATAAGCATTTTAGAAGACTCCAGATGCATAGGTGGAATGGCTAAATAGTCTCTTTGGAATTAAAAATAAATGTATTTTTAATTTATGTGGGTATAGAGTGGGTGTGTGTATTTATGGGGTACATGCTTTGATACAGGCATGCAATGCATAATAATCACATCATGGAGAATGGGGTACCTCATTCTCATCATGGAATGATGAGAATCATCATTTATCTTTTGTATTACACAATTGAATTACACTCTTTGGTTATTTTTAAATTTTTTTAAAATTATTAACTATAGTTACCCTGTTGTGCTATCAAATAGTAGTTCTTCCTTTTTCTTTCCTTTTTCTCTACCCATTAACCATTCCTACCTCCCGTCACACTTTTTAATGAAAGTACAGACATATTCCTTTGTATCTGATTTGTTTGAAATTATTACATTTTTACAAAAGTTATTGCTTTGCCATTAAAATGTATAGAGTAGGCATCAAGGGAGTTTATGCTGTATCATTTCTGGGTATCACAAAAATAAAACATACTTTCTCATATTATCACAAATTCTGGAACACTGGCCAGGCCAACTTTTAAAAGTCATTTTAAAGAGAATTTCTTGAACCCGGGAGGCGGAGGTTGCGGTAAGCCAAGATTGTGCCATTGTACTCCAGCCTGAGCAACAAGAATGAAACTCCATCTCCCCCGCCAAAAAAAAGGTCATTTTAATCCCTCCTTTGCTCTGATGTTCACTATACTGCTTCCTTCTATATCATACTAACCTTCTAAACTGTGGATTCTAGAGAAATCTTAAGCTTGGTGAGAATATCAGCGACATTTCTGAGAGGTTCTATCAGTGATCTCCCTAGCAATGCCCGTCACCATTCAATTTCAATAAAAGTAGAAGTTGTATCTACCATAATGAACTTTAAAAAAAGTTGCTTTAGATACCAGCCTTAATTTATTTGATTTTCTACCAGTGTTAAAAGATGAGGATCCCGGCTATTTAAACATTTCCATCATGACATTTCATTTTCTTACCAGAAGTGAGACTTGCAATTTCTGCAGATTTTTTATCTTTTTCATAATTGATCATTAATTTTTGTGGCTCAAACATTTGGCTTTGAAGGTAAACCAAATAGTCCCTTCCATTGTCCTCTATCTTTACAAAAGATGATTCTCTCCCAAAATTTAATTCTTGGCCAATGAAGTCATTCTCTCCTGAAAAATCCTCTTGTAGCTCAGTAGTAAATCTAGAAGAAGAAAAAAAAAAAAACTTTAGTTGAGTCTAGATAACTTTAGAGAAGGAGGCAAATAAAAAATCCTAACATTTAACAAAGTTATTTAATTATCTCCTTAAAAAACCAGTTGGATGGTGAAAATATAAATCCATTTCAATCAAATAATTCACTGAGATTCATTACACATACTATTTTTTAAAACTCTGATAAAATTTTCTACTTATTCTATCTTTTCTTACATCTGTTTAGAGGCTATTAAGTACTACTTTGGAATAACCAAGTTTGATTTGTGCAGAGTTTTATTGTTTGTTTTCTTTTGAGACAGGGACTCACTCTTTTGAGACAGGGTCATCCAGGCTGGAGTGTAGCGGTGCAATCACAGCTCACTGCAGCCTCAACCTCCTGGGCTCTAGCAATCTTCCCACCTCAGCCTCCTGAGTAGCTGGGACCATAGATGCATGCCACCATGACGGGCTAATTTTTAATTTTTGTAGAGATTGGGTCGTGCTGTGTTGCCCAGGCTAGTCTCGAACTCCTGGGCTCAAGTGATCCTCCCTCCTCAGCCTCCCAAACTGCTGAGATTACAGGTGTGAGCCACCATGTCCAGCATGTACAGAGTTTTAGATAAGTGAAAAGAAACTCACAAGCATTTGGAACAATCATATTATATCTCAGATTGATACCAATCACCATGGAAAATGCAGAAAAAACTTAATCTACCAAGCACTGCTGTGAGAAAGTAAGATTATATAAAACATAACCCATATCAGTGCCTCTTAAAATAGTGTCTACATTTATAATCATAGCAGTTTAAGAGTTCTCTGTGATAATTCGAGAATTTTGTGTTTTTATTTGGTTGATGATATAAAATATATTCAATAGAAGTTTATTCTTGATTATGCAATTTTATGTAATTTCAATGTCTGTGTTTGCATTTGCATTTGATACTGTTTGGCACCCAGTAATACGACTTTAACTGTTGAGAGTTAATGAGGAGAGGAAGCAAAGTCAGATGTAAAATGTAAATAATACGTTCACACCAAGAGAAAATCAAATGATATCACGTGTGATGGCACACTGTGTGAATAATCTTGCAGTAGTGCAGGTGAAGATACGTGGTGGGGAATCATGTCATCACGTAACAGAGTAGGCAAGCTGCATGTCGATGTTCTTCTGCAGCATGCACCACATTTTATATATTTTACCAACATCTACCATTTTTTTGGTTTTTAAAAGTTCCAGTTTGACAAAGAGGAATTATTCATTGCATTAAGTTAGTGTTGAAAATTTTTGTCTCACTGAGTTTGTCTGGATTTGATGTATTAACTTGTTTTGGTTTAACAGCTGCATAAGAACTATAAGTGTATAATATTTGCAGCTAGATTTGTGTTTGTAAATGTATAAATAACATTATAATATTTTGTCTGCTGTCCTATAGAATTGGTTTTGCTTGTAAATGACTTTATGATTTATTCAAGGTTGGGAAACACCGCTTCACATAAGATCAGTGCCACATTGTCCTTCAGAAGGTATTGGCTGCTAGATGCTTCCCTGCATAATTACCAAGTAAATGAAATATGACATTGGAGGAACATGTGCTTGCATGAATTCTGGAGAACTCACCTTTCCATTTTGCTCCTGGGTGTATCAAAGAGACCTTATCTGTTCTGAGAAGCTCTTTTACTTAATTGCAATTTGAGACGATGGGGTGATTGTGGGTCCAAACCTGGGCCTAAACAGGGGTCTAAACCTGGGTCTAAACAGGGTCTCAGGGATCTAAGCTCAATGAAGCACATAGAAAAGAAGAAAGCAACTAAGACGGGCCACTTTCACTCAGTTTCAGAGCAAAGATTCCTTCAGATTAATTAGTTATATTTTTATTTAGGATACAATATCAAGGAACATTATATACATGATTATATTGTAGAGTCTTTTATGCTAACTTTTGGGGATGAAACATGAATCATATGTAGCCTCCGACCTCAGCAAGACAAGACCCTGGGTAGACCGTAATAAGTGCCTCAGCAGTGCAAAAAAAAAAAAAAGACTATGGGTTTTGATGAGGAGTAAACATTGGTTTCAAACACAAGACAGCTTCAATCTGGGTCATGAAAGATGGCTAGGGTTTCACCGAAAGGAGCAAGAGTCCCAGGCAGTGTGAAATGGGATAATTCACACAAGGCAGGTAAGAGTTCAGTGTGATCAGAACTCATGGTTGGGAGAAATAAGAAGTGAGGTTGAGGTGGATCGAGGATAAATTGTGGGTTCTATTCTGGGGTAAATTTCAATACAGGAATTTCTGAAGAAACCATGAATTTAAAGGCAAAATTGTAATAAAGCTTATGATGTTATAAAAACATCAAATTGGAAATCATACCTGATAAGTAATTTCAGCTACGGAAAATGGAATGCATAAAAAGTCTACTTCGGTGACCTTGTTAGCATACTCAACCTGATAAAGTGTTATTAACCAGTTATACTCCCATCAGTCAATTAACAGTCGCTTGTAAATATAAGAGCTTTCTAACTCACTGGAAACCATCATTTCGATCATTCTCTCCTAAACTGATGAGACTACAGGCATCCTCAAGCATTGGTGGTGGGTACTGATTGAATCCCCCTATTGAGAGAACAAAGTTATAGTTAGATTTTAAACTGCAAATGATGTTTCCTAGGTAAAGATAATCCCAACAGGAATCCTCTTGAAGCAATTAATGTCACTAACATATTTCAGCAAAGTTTGGCTGGGGTGAAAACAGATAATAGCAGTTAGCAATAGCACTCAAAATTTGGTTTCAAAGTGTTTTAGCAGCCAAAGGATTACCAGAATCATGGAAACAGACTTCCTCAAATTGTTCATCTAAGGGCTAGTTGTGATGCAGCGACACATGATTTTCACATGCTCAGGCTAACATAATCTAAGAGATACTCTATTCTGGTTCATCAAAGGTTTTTCACCCAGACTTATGCTAACAGATCAAACAGAAACAAGGTAATGTTTCATTACATGATACTGATATCATTTCTGTGCTTCTGCACCCATTAACACTGATTCCTATGAGGAAAAGAATCACAGACAAGATTTTACCTTACTTAAATAACATGCCTATTTATCCCCTTCCTGATGTTGTTCTATACATTTTGGAATATTGAGAAGTATGTTACCCTGCCCCATTCAGGAAAATAAAAGATTTTAAGGAAGGCCTTCAGCCATTGAATGATCCAAGGTTCCATGAAAATATCTCAGATAATGTCTGTAGTTTCATAATAATCACATTTTCAAATTCTAAGATGAGCATTTTTTTTCCTTTTTTCTACTTCTTTAAAATGAAAATGCATCTCTGATTAATTGCATCTGACACTTACTGTTGGGTGGGCAGGAATTGTGATGCAGTGGTCATTGCCTGTGCAAGTGGGAAGAGCAAACATGCCAGCACCAAAACTTGTAGAACTGGGGACAGCAGTTTGAAAACATTCCCATAAATACCAGCAGAGGAGTCTTTTCACTCCTACAAACCAAGTGGTTGTGGGAAGGCAGTGAACTGGGTGTGTTTAACACTTCCCAGGTGAAAGTCAAAAGTCGGCTACCTCTACATAATTGCAAAGCCACTTAACAGTCCAACATGACCAGCTTTGAGTTGTTTTATAGTCTTTTAAAATGTTGCATTATCATCTATCTTAATGGCACAAAGAACAATACTGCATAGAAAAAAATGGATACCAATGACTCTGAGCCAAGAAGTAGCTCACAAGAGTCAAATTCTGAATAAGAAGTTGTTTTAGGAATGCCTTAACCTGCCTATTCCACATAGATTTTCTTTTTATGCATGCACAGGAGTGATATATTTACTATACATCCAAAAGAACTCTTTCAATTGCTGTAAAATAAAATGCTCTAATAGGAAAGTTGGTATCAAAATTTAATTGGAAACTTTTTTTCCTTTACATTATACAATTGAGGGCATCTTAAAGAAATAACAGTGTTCCCAAGAGGGCAACTATTGGATTCTTTAATTGAATATGAATCACAGGAGAAAGGTGGAGCTCTCCTTGCAATGAAAAGTGAACGCTCAAGACATTATCACTGTGGTGTTGTTGGGAAATCCTTTGAATAGCAAGGAAACTGGGATTGTACAGTGGTAGAATTGATTCCAGCCAAGTTTACTTCTAAAACTGTCAGATTTCCAGAAAGGAAAGGTTCAGCTCTGATTCTGTGGGATCTTATGGAGAAGGGTTTCTCAACCTCAGTGCTATTGCTATTGACATTTGGGGATGTATTATTCTTTGTTGTGGTGGGGAGTCTGTCCTGTGAATTGTGGGATGTTTAGCAATATCCCTGACCTCTATTTACTTGATACTAGTAGCATCCCCAAGTTGTGACCGCCAAATAATGCCTCCAGACATTTCCAAATGTCCCCTGGGGCAAATTGTGCCGTATTGAGAACAATTGCTCTAGAAGAGTGTTTTCCCAAACCGTCTGTGGTAGAGGACAAGGTATTCTCATTTCTAGTTCTTTGCAGACTGATGCTTTTGGTCTAAATCCTGTTCAATGAGACAGAGTCCACTGGTCATGCAACTGTATGCCACAGCAATCAATGTCAAATTGCCTTAAAAGTTTCTAGATGTTTACTCTCAATCTGTGTATTTATTTCTTCACACATCAACTTATAACCTGGCACTCATCCAATGAGTAACCCTTCGTAGTGCACTGGCCTAGAGCCATGCTATTCAAAGTGTGATCCATGAACCAGCAGCATTGACATTACTGCAGTACCTGTTAGAAATGTAGAATCTCAGGCTTCACCCTAGACATCCTCAGGAAGAACATCCTGCATTTTAACAAGGTTATTAGGTGATGTGTTTGCCCAGGACTCTGCTATCTTCACATCCTCACACAGGTCTCCAGGGTGTACCAAAGTTGGAAATAAAACAGGTATAGCAAGTGAAACTTTTACTTGAATGTTCTTCTGGAAATCACCTAACTGCTGCCAGAACTTCTTGAGCAAATGCGACTCATAAGCCCTCTAGTCACTCTGTGACTTTCTAGTGCTGAGAGTTTGGCTAACAGACACACTATGATAAAAACAGGCCTCAGGCCTCGCCATTTTGTGACCAGGATATAAACAGGGTATAACCAGCAAATGATCCATTCCTGGCCCCATCTCACCATCTAATTCATAAATTATGTTTAGATTAGCTATAGACACAAAAATAGGTTATCAATACTATAATAGTAACAAACACTAGCTTATTAAAACAAAGAAAAACAATGAAATAATAACTTACGCCTGACTGAGTATAAAAATGGCTTTAAGAACTTCAGAATATAATTCAGATCTGGTTTATGTATTCTCCCAAGCTGTATCAGGTGCTGATCAAGTGGGTAGCTGGCTAACTCCTCCATGTCATCCTTACGTGTAGGGCCCAGAGAAATCACAAATATGACATAGCCTTGACACTTAGCCCTCAAAGCCATCATTTTTACAAATTCTTTTCTCTCATAATTTTCTCCAGCTGAGACCACAAAGATGACCTTGTGTTTTCTTCGATAGGGTGTTCCTGGAAAGAGATTTTCAGTGGTCCACATTAGGGCATCACCAATTGTGGCTTCTCCATTTAGCTGTTGGAAGGAAGTCTGGATGTGATTCTTCATTAGGAGTTGGTTGTTATAAGTGATAAAATCAAACTCTGTTTTTACTGTACCCATCTTTGTCCTGGAACTTTCCCAAGGAGAATAGCTCAATAAGGCAATCCTATCACCAGAGTCTGAGATTAAAGGGTCTGAAGCAATGTTGAAGTTGTCAATCACTGAGCTCACCAAGGCTTTCACAGCCTTAAACTCATCCTTTGCTATATTCCGAGAATTGTTATCAGCGAAAAGGCTCAACATATGTAAAGCAAATCTCAGATAAGACAAGCTTGAATGCAACATTTGCAAAACATTTATCTGGAAAACCAGCACAGAGACACCACTCAATGTGGTTCAACCTGACCCAACAGGAACACTGTTTGAGATCTTCAAGTGATTCAGTGGACTAATTGTAACGAATTATAATTGATCAATACCTCTTTGATCTCCAATAATTTAAAAATTAATAGAAAAATTTCAATGTCGCCAGTACTTCTCCAGGCACTAGGCAACAAAGGCACGGGAGGCTTTTGTGAAAGCAGCGATGGTCGGTAGGCACATAATACTGCAGTGTACTCAAGTTATTGTCCAAACCATTTAGAAATCAATTTTATATTTTAGAGACCTTCCTGATATAAACTCACCATCATCCAGAAATGCGCTCACTGGTTGCGCGATAATTTTCTAAACCATTTCACATTGTATGGAAACTCCAAACATCCCAGAGAATTGAAACCATGGATTTATGGTCATTGAAAAACTAGAAAACTGAAAATAGAACCTATGATTAAAAATAGAAAATCTCTGATAAAGCCACATTCAACAACTCATCTAGAAGGCATTTAAGCTCTTCAGCACAGTCAATTCTCTTCACTGGTCTTACCATAGCAAAGTGTACAGCGCCGAAGTCTTTCTAATGTTTGATTTTCCCCATTTGGAGGAACTGGAATCACCTGAAATGTTCCAGTGTTGTCAAACTGCATTGGAAAAGAAGTGAATGCATGTTTGCTCATTGTGTTAGTCACTATTAGGAAACCACTGTGCAGTCACTTTACGGATTAGTTTAAAATACACCCAACTAATCCAACTAATCACTATTACCTTGCATTATAGCTCCTTGTTCCATTCAGTGCATGTTCTCACACACACACACACACACACACACAAAATCCCCTGCTTATCCTAAACATAACACAAAAAGTATCTATAGAACAAGTATCATCATCCCTAGATTATGATGAGAAAACTGCCATGAGATAACCTGACCAGATTCACTCACTGGGGCAAGTATTAAAATCTCTTATTTCCAAGCCTGCAATTCTGGACTAAATTTGTACACACTTCCGATTATGCACCAGCTGATTATACACCACATGCCAGCTTCTGAAGTTGGGCCCTGCATAAACTGTACATTCCCAAGCTTCCTTTGGGATCCACTAGTGATCCCAACTATTTCCAGTCCACTCTATCTAGAAGAAGGCACATCTCTCAGTTGTCAAGGGGACCTTCTCAATCACAAATTCCACTTACAAGTCTATTTCAAAAAGCAATGGACAGAATTTTATTCAAAATTCCTGGTGGTACACTGTCTGATTTCTTATTTCCTGATTACTTTTTAAAATACTTTAATACTCACTGTAATGGGCAATATACAGCACTCACTCATTCATTCAATGAGTCAATAACTCTTTATTGGGCATTTACTCTACGTGAGGCACCATGCAAAACAGATGCTTTTACAAGTGTATGTAACTACAAACCACTGCTCAAGGAAATAAGAGAGAAGACAAACAAATTCTGTTATAGGTGTAGTTTTATGTTCTGGGGATATGAAAATAAATGAAACAGATAAAACCTCTATCTTGGCCAGGCACGGTGACTCACGCCTGTAATCCCAGCAATTGGGAGTCCAAGGCGGGTGGATCATGAGGTCAGGAGTTCAAGACCAGCCTGACCAACATAGTGAAACCCCGTCTCTACCAAACATACAAAAATTAGCTGGGCGTGGTGGCACATGCCTGTAATACCAGCTACTCAGGAGGCTGAGGCAGCAGAATCACTTGAACCAGGAAGCCGAGGTTAGTGAGACAAGACCGTGCCACTGCACTCCAGCCTGGGTGACAGAGCGAGACTTTGTCTCACAAAAAAAAAACCAAAAACAAAAAAAAAACCCACTATCTTACATTCTAGTGGGAGAGCTATATCATCAACATAATAAAAAAGTAAATTATTTAGTATGTTGGGAAGTAATATTTTTCATGGAAAAAAAAACCAAGTAGGATAATAGGGATGGGAAAATCTGGGATAACATTTAAGTAGAGCCCACTGATAACATGACATTTAAGCAAAAATTCAAAGGAGAAGGAAGATGGAGAAAAGAATTTCTGGCGTAGGAAATAGCCAGATGAAAGCTCTGGGGAAGCAGGGGCATGCCTAGCTTGTGTGAAGATCAGCAGGGAAGACAGCGTGCCTGGGATGGGGTGAGAGAGAACAAGACAAGGAGAAGGTGAGATCAGAGAGTTACTAAGAGGGACTGAGTGGTAGATCATTCAGAGCCTTGCAAGCCATTGTAAAGACTTAGTTTTAACTCTGAGAGAAATGATAAATTGCAGAGTTTCAGGCAGAAGAATAACCTGGTGGCTTAGGGTTTCCATAAGATTACTCTAGCTGCTGTGTTCAGACAGACTGTAGCAGGGCCAGAACGAATACAAGGCCACTAAGGAAAAGGTGATTGCACAGTCTAGGCAGAAGATAATGGTGGTTTGGATCAAGGTGTCAAAGACAGAGACACTATGAAGTGGTCAAATTCTGGATATATATTTTTTACAAATAATACCAAGATTAGTACTTATACCAATACTTAATACTAGTACTTAAATGAATGCTATATTTACTAATAAGTACTAATATACTTTATTGCACATATGCACATTTTAGTGTATATATGTACATATATTCACTTTTGTATACATGGACACACAAACATACATATATACACACATTAAAGTTAAGAATGTTGGATATAAGAAGAGATGAGGAATCTTAGATAACTGCAGGTAGAAGAATAGTATTTTTATTAGCTGTGATGGAGAGGGCTGTACGTTGTACAAGTTTTGGGAAAAAATTAGAAGCTTCATTTTAGATATGGTAAGTTTGAAATATCCATTAACATGCAAGTGGAAGTATTGAATAGACTGCTGTGTGTATGAATCTAGAGTTCAAGGATGCAGTCTGGATGAGAGATAAGACATATCATTGAGGATATTTAAAACCCTGAGTCTGGATGAGAGTGTCAAGAGATTGCATAAGGATAGAGAAGAGGGCTAAGGCATGCGCTTTGGGCAATACCGACATTCTGAGGCCAAGGTGATGAAGCTGAATCGGAAAACTAGACTGAGAAGGGACAACTAATGAGGTAAGAGAAAAACCAGGAAGATGAGGTATACTAAAAGTCAGCCCAAAAAAGAAAACATTTCCCAAAGAAGGGCAGAATCAACAATGTTGTATACTGTAAATAAATTCAGTGAGTTGCAGACAGAATCAACAGAATCAACCACTGGGTATAGAAACATGAAGATCACAGTTGACCTTGACATGAGCAATATCAGGAGAGTAGCAGGAATCAAAATGTGACTGGGATTATCTCAAGAAAGAATGCTAGGAGAGGCACTAGAGGCAGCAAATATAGACAATTTCTTTTTTCCCCTAGGATATTGCTATATGGGAGCCAAGAAATGAAGCAGTAACTGAAAATCTAGGTCAGAAAGTTGTTTTATTTCTCTCCCCTGATTGGAATAATGTGGCAGAGAGGGAAAAAAATCAGTCTATAGTAGACAGAGGGTCTCTTCCAGCAATAAAACTAATAAATAATACTAATACTAAATAATATAATAAATAATATATAAAACTAATAAAAATAATAAAATAGGGGAATGCGAATAACTAATAACTCTGTCCATTTTATCCAACTTCACAAGAGGAAAGATCATGGGTAATTTTTAAAAAGATATACTCTATAGAGAAAAATCAGACTTATAGAGATTTAACCTGCTAATACTTTTAAAAATTTTTAGAAATTTCTAGAACATCAGTAGGGCTTTGCAAGTTTAAATTCCACTTGAGACTGGATCCAGGATAAAAAGGTAAGGCTAACTCTCTCACCACTCCTATTCAACATAGTATTGGAAGTTCTGGCCAGGGCAATCAGGCAAGAGAAAGAAATAAAGGGTATTCAAATAGGAAGAGAGGAAGTCAAGTTGTCTCTGTTTGCAGACATCATTGTATATTTAGAAAACCCCATCATCTTAGCCCATAAACTTATTGAATTGATAAGCAACTTCGGGAAAATCTCAGGATACAAAATCGATGTGCAAAAATCACAAGCATCCCTTTACACCAACAATAGGCAAGCAGAGAGCCAAATCATGAGTGAACTCCCATTCACAATCACCACAAAGAGAATATAATACCTAGGAATACAGTTAACAAGGGATGTGAAGGACGTCTTCAAGGAGAACTACAAACCACTGCTCAAGGAATTAAGAGAGGACACAAACGGGAAATATTCCATCCTCATGGATAGCAAGAATAAATATTATGAAAATGGTCATACTGCCCAAAGTTACTTATAGATTCAATGCTATTCCCATTAAACTACCATTGACATTCTTCACAGAATTAGAAAAAAACTATTCTGAATTTCATATGGAATCAAAGAAGACCCCATATAGCCAAGACAATCCTAAGCAAAAAGAACAAAGCTGGAGGCATCATGATACCTGACTTCAAACTATACTACAAGGATACAGTAACCAAAACAGCATGGTACTGGTACCAAAACAGACATACAGATCAATGGAGCAGAACAGAGACCTCAGAAGTGACACCACACATCTAGAACAATCTGATCTTCAACAAACCTGACAAAAACAAGCAATGGGGAAAGGATCTCCTATTCAGTAAATGATGCAGGAAAACTGGCTAGCTATATGCAGAAAACTGAAACTGGACCCCTTCATTACACCTTATACAAAAATTAACTCAAGATGAATTAAAGACTTAAACGTAAAACCCAAAACCATTAAAAACCCTAGAAGAAAATCTAGGCAATAACATTCAGGACATAGGCATAGGTAAAGACTTTATAACTAAAACACCAAAAGCAATTGCAATGAGAACCAAAATTGACAAATGGAATCTAATTAAACTAAAGAGCATCTGCACAGCAAAAGAAACTATCATTAGAGTGAACAGGCAACCTAGAGAATGGGAGAACATTTTTGCAATCTACCCATCTGACAAAGGTCTAATATCCAGAATTTGCAAGGAACTTAAATATATTTACAAGAAAAAAACAAAAAACCCCATCAAAAAATGAGGAAAGGATATGAAGAGACACTTCTCAAAAGAAGACATTTATGCGGCTAAGAAACATATGAAAAGAAGCTGAACATCCTTGATCATTAGACAAATGCAAATCAAAACCGCAATGAGATACCATTTCATGCCAGTCAGAATGGCGATTATTAAAAAGTCAGGGAACAATAGATGCTGGCAAGGCTGTGGAGAAATAAGAATGCTTTTACACTCTTGGTAGGAATGTAAATTAATTCAACCATTGTGAAAGACAGCATGGCAATTCCTCAGGGATCTAGAATCAGAAATACATTTGATCCAGCAACCCCATTACTGCGTGTATATCCAAAGGAATATAAATCATTTAACAAGAAAGAGTCATGCACACATATGTTATTGCAGCACTATTTACAATAGCAAAGACACGGAACCAACCCAAATGCCCTCAACGATAGACTGGATAAAGAAAATGTGGTACATATACACATGGAATACTATGCAGGCATAAAAAGGAATGAGAGAATGTCCTTTGCAGGGACATGGATGAAGCTGGAAGCCATCATCCCCAGCAAACTAACACAGGAAGAGAAAACCAAACACCGCATGTTCTCACTCATAATTGGGAGTTGAACCTTGAGATCACATGGACCGTGAGAGGGGAACAACACATACCAGAGTTGTTGAGGGGTAGGGGTTGAGGCGAGGAAACCTAGAGGATGGGTCAATATGTGCAGCAAACTACCATGGCACATGCATACCTATGTAACAAATCTGCATGTTCTGCACATGTATCCTGTTTTTTTTTTTTCTTTTTTTTAGAAGAAATAAAGAAAAAAAAAGGTAAGGCAAACTACTTCAGAGCAGACTTGCCAAAAGAAATAATAACGCCAAAAACAGGAGATACAAGGGATATGAGGTGAATTTCACAGAAAAATAAAAATTGGCAATAAACATATGAAAAAATGCTTAACCTCACACAGGAATATAATCAAAACAACGAGATACTCTTATTTACCTACCCAATTGGCAAACATTTAAAAAGCTCAATAGGTAAAATCCAGTATGGGTATGTGGGGAAACAGACACTCTCAGACATCAAGGGTAGCAGCTCTATGCCTTCAGAGTTGAAGCAGTGAGGACTTGATGAAGAGGTTTGGAAGGAGGGAGTTGAGAGAGGGGAACAGAGAGGAGGATGTCCTGAGTGGAGAAGAGTGCAAGGCAGGGAAGAATAAAGAATGACTAAAGGGAGCACTGCTCAAGGCGTGATATGCAGTCAGAATGACTGTGTGGGGTTATTATCTGGTAAGAGCAGAGTGATGAGAACCAGATAGCTTCCTGGGTCACCTTCTCTGTAGACATGATGCAAATTTAAAATGATTTGTTAGCTAGAGTGACTGGAGGCTCTTTCTCACTGGGGATTCTGAGGGCTTTGGCACAGTCCTATCTGAAGGATTAAATTTGATGTCTTATTCAGATTTCTTGTATTCTGGAATTTTATGCAACTCTCAAAGCTGAAATGTCACTTATTTTCCCCAGAGAGAAAAATTAAGGAGGCAGAAAAATTTCAAAAAGAAAAACTGAAAACCACAGGACTTTGACTTCCTGCAATCCTTTTTGTCAGAATCTGTTGTAACTCTCTGTGGCTCCTATTTCCAAAAAATGCTTGGATGTGTTAGGAACAGATTGATTCTCTCCATGTTATAGAGAGATTCTTTCTCTTTATATGGTAGAAATTGTACATTTTTTATAAAAATAGACCTTTACAATCTCTTGAAGGACATGATGGCTTTACACAGCTCCAGAAGAATGTATTTTATGGATAATCTGAATATATTGAAAAGCTGTAGAACAGATGAAGAGATTTTTAAGTTTCTTAGGAGGAAGGGAAGGGGAGCACTGATCCCTTGAGAATCTGTGGATCCAAAAGTGACACGACCTCTTTTGGGAAAAATGTTCATATACATCAAATGTTTTGCACGACCATAGGGGTCCAAAGATCCCCTGAACTTCTTCCATCACTGGTTAAGGCCAGCTGTTCTGTGAGCTACAGCAAGCAGATAACAAATCTGAGAAACACCAGAGCAGTAGAGGGCTGGTAGAGCACCACGTTCATGGCCCTTTATATCACGTAGACTTAAGTTGGAATCTCAATTTAGTCACTTAGTAGTGGTATATAGTTAAGTCACTAGTAATCCTCTGCGCCTCAGTTGCCTTTTTATTTTATTTTATTTTATTTTTGACAGAGTCTTTCTCTGTTGCCAGGCTGGAGTATAGTGGCGCCATCTTGTCTCACCACAACCTCCAACTCCCTGGTTCAAGTGAGTCTCCTGCCTCAGTCTCCTGAGTAGCTGGGATTACAGGCACACACCACCATGCCCAGTTAATTTTTGTATTTTTAGTAGAGATGACGTTTCACCGTGTTGGCCAGGATGGTCTCGATCTCCTGACCTCATGATTTCCCACCTTGGCCTCCCAAAGTTCTGGGATTACAGGCATGAGCCACTGCTCCCGGCCCTGGTTTCCTCATTTTTAACATGGAGATGACAGCTGCATTGACCTCTGAGGGCTGTGAGAATGTGTGAATACGTACGGAAAGCTCTAGGGACAGTGCCTGGCGTACAGCAGGAACTGAGCAAATGTGGTTGCTGTTATCATTGACTGTTGTTATTATTCAGGATTGAATTTCACAGACACTGAAAACAATTTAGCTGTGAAAACTGTAAAGGAGTTTTCAAGAGGCCACATATATTCCTTGACTCTCTACCACTCCCATCCTGCCCTAGCACAATACCACTATCTTAAAAATAAAGAAGTTGCCAAGAGAAATTCTTACCCCAAAAGCTTCAAAGAAAACTCTCTCATCAAAAGCAAAGACTGTTGGACTGATATCCAGGGCACTAAACTCCATGGTGGCTGTGATGATGGACGACCTACCGGCCATTTGACCATTGCTAAAAAACACAGCAACTCTCCTCATGTTGGCTTCTGCATATGTCCGTTTGAACACGTTGCGGGCCACAAACCTCATTGCATTACCAACATCTCGGGGCTCTGTGGTGTCTTGATATTTTATTTGGGAAAGCTGTTGGAGGAGTTGCTTCTTCCTATTGTAGTCAGACCAACGGATGAGATAGCTGGTGTCTGAGTTGTAGGAAACCACGGCAACTCTTGCTCCCACAAGACAATTATTTTCCCTGATGTTAAGGTCATTGACAATAGAAGTGATGATGTCCCGTGTTTTATTAAAGCTCTTTTCTGTGACATCATAGGAATTGTCCAGAGCAAATACTAACTCTGTTGGATATACTGGACATTTTTCTAGAAAAAAGAAAAGCAGAAGTATTAAGTTATTTCACTGGATCAAAATCCTTTCCCTTACCCTTTACTCCAATGAAGTGGGTTCATACAGAGGCAAAGCAAGTGCTTCATCCAGCTCTAGAACAAGAGGTACCCACAGACAAAGAAAGGAAAGAAATCTGGTCTGCAAACTTGAAGCTGTCACATAAATGCAGAGCATGAATATTTGGCTATATAATGCTCAGACTTCACAGCCCGCTATCATATCAGTCAGCTGTGTAAAATGAAATTGCTGGGAGTTCTTGGGCTGATGGAACTGTTCTGTGTCCTGACCAGGGTAGTGGTTACATGAATCTATGCATGTGGTAAAACTGAACACATACACAGAGAAATGAATTTTACTGTGTGTAAAATTTAAAAATGAATAAAATGAAATTATAGCTGATTGGGGATCTTGAAAATCTGTTCTCCCCCAAAATCTTCCAAAATAATCTATTAATTATAAAGATAGTTGTAAGATTTCCATCCACTTTTGCAACAAATATTTGAGTAACTACCACATGAAATGCAGTATAACATTCACTGTGAAATACATGCAAAGGTGAACCAAGTGCAGCACTGCCCTGGAGGAACTTGTATTGGCAAGCATCATTATACTATAAGGTATAGAGTAAAGATTATTCTTGAGGATTCAGAGGATAAAGAGGCTGTTTCCAAAAAAGGGCTATCTCAGAGGCTTCAGGAAAACTGGCTTTCAATGAAGACCAGGGTGGCAAGAGGAAGGAAGCAACATGAACCAATGAAGGTTCTCCACAACCAGAGGAGAATTTTGCAATAAGCTCTTACAAAAATGGGACTATCTGCCACTCCCAGCTCGATACTCATGTCTTATGATGACTGAACTTTACAATTTCACAGAAAATCTACCCTATGTATCAAACCTCACTTTTCAATGTCCTTGTTAAAGTCTGAACACAGGAAAAGAAAAATGATTTTTCTTTTAATAAGCACTTCCATCTGCTCAGGCTGTTCTACTATCCCCAATCTGGCTAACTCCCAAAGCATATTACACTCAAAATATCCCATATCCCAACCACTGTTCTTGGTAATAAAAATAGGGAAGTATTGATTTAGAGAAGTGTTTTGAATCAAAGAATTTTACGGTGAAGAAATTTCAGTAATTTTAAAATATGAAAGCTGATAATGAACAATAGAATAAGAAAAATGAAAGATACATTTAATCCAAATCCATAAAGTTGTATTGAGCGCTTACTGTGTGCAAGGTATATTTTTGCAGAATTAAGGTGAATAGTTCCAAACCTGCACCACACTTAAAGACCCTGAGGGTCTACATCAGCAGGCCTCTAGGAGACCAGGAGGTTTTGAAATTGACATAGCCACTGGCTCCAGTGGCCTTGCCATCCAAGGGCTCTAAGGCATGGTGCAGCCCCGAATCTGTGGAAGATCATCCACAGCCGTGGGCAGGAAAGGTTTACAAGTAGTGGGCACTCAGTGAGATGACAGGTATGAGCGTGGGCCAGAGGGAGGAAAGGACACATCTTACATCCAAGAAGCCAGTGTCAAGGGCAACAGCGGCAGACAGAGCAGCAGAATGTGGATTAGTCAGAGAGCCACGTTTACTGAATCCCCCAGCAGCACACGGCCGGCTCTGGGGAGAAAGTGAGTTGTAAACCGTGGTGGGTCCCAGGCTTGGGGCTGGGATTCAGTCACCATTTCATAATCAGGTCAATCATGACACTGACAACTATAGTCATAATCAAAAGAAAGAACTGTCTGCATAGAAGGAAGAAGTCCTGTTTCCCACGGGGGTGAGGGCTTCTCTCAGACTGGTCTTGTTGGAATGCAGTAATGATCTCAGCAGGGAAGAGCATGGTAAGAATACTCACCTTTCCAGCAAGCTGTGAAAAGGAGAGAGGGAAAAGTTTGTTATGTTTTTGGAACAAGACTACAAATAGTTCAAATTACATCATTTTAACAAAGCTGAAAATGTGATTTGAGTCTAACTGCAAATGAGGCTAATTCTTGACAGGAAGCCAAGGTTAAAGTATTGAGGAAGATGTCAACAGAATTTTATTAATTTGTGAGCCTTCCTAACCTTTTCCATTTTTAAACCACAGCCAGCAGACTTTAGCAGAATTTTGGTTGAAACTGAAACACTGATCACTCGTCTTAGAAGCAAAAATAGATGAGCCTCTGATTAAACGGCAAGATAGCTGAAATTCAATTTGTTTTGTCTCTCATCTTATAGCCTTCTGAGAGTCATTCAGCAACGCAAGGCTAAAATATGGGTTCTTATTTTCTTCCCTGATGAATATCTTGGGAGCCTTTATTTTCCCGTACAACCATGGGGGGATTTCCAAGTGAATTTTGTCTTTGATAAAAAGCACAGCTCCTCTGTTTGAGTGATCTCCACATCCAGAGGGAGAAAGAAAAAACCCCAAGGGTTTCTCCTGAGCAAAACACCATCTGGTTTCTCTGATTTACTCTGTAAAACTGAGAGGAATCAGGGCAAGTATTGATACATCTTTAAGAAACCACAGGTCTAACAATTTCCATGTTCATTTCACTCTATTCCTAGGAAGCAAATGAGTCACTCCAATATAATAAAAGATACTATTAACACTGGCAACACACCAGCCTTCTGTCTTGCTGTCATGCAGTAGTGGTCCCCTGCCATCCACCCTGTGAACACCTCTTGTTTGTCTTAACCCCACGGCCACTGGGACGCTAACTGCCATCAGACAGCACACATAACCCACAGCCTCCTTTGCATCTGGAGGCTCAACACAGACCCCTTTTTCCTGTACTTCCACTTGTTCACTTCAAACACAGCTCCAAGGCTACAAGCACAGGCTCTAGAAGCAGAAACACCTGCTGGGTTTGAGTCTGGTAGAGCTGGGTGACTTAGGGGAAAATTACTTAAATTCTTTTGAGCAATTTCCTTTAAGTTGATTTTTCCTAAAATTCTTTATTTATGTATCTCCCTCCAAAATGCTAATCACTTGGGCTCTTCTGTTTTATTCTCAACCACCCCCTTTCTCTCTTAATTTTCCCCAGTCTCCTAGACACCTTCTTTTATTCTCCAAAGAAGGTCTCAGCCTGGCCCTCACCCCTGTGTGTCACAGAGCTGTTACTGGACTGAGGAGCAAATGATGTTAGATGAGAAACCTTGGAAATGTCAGCTATTAAGTGAGGCCATTTAGATCAGCTCTAACGGCCTGTTGCCTGCATCTTTATCTCCAGTCTGCATCCTGGAGTTCTGTGTTATCCAATCAGTGCCCTGTGTGGTTATAGAACTTGCCTACTCTTCTCTGACCTCCTGTTTTATGGGCTAACTCCTTTTATTCTATGTTGGAAAACTTCTCTCTTCAAATTCCAAACCCTCCAAGGCTGGTCCTCACCTCCCCAGCCCCTTCCACCTAACTTTGGTCTTCTTTGGGAAGACATCATTTGATTTTACTGAGAAGACTGGCAACTTCTTGAGGAAGGTTGATCCCACATTCGTTTCTCCTACAATGGTTCTTCCCTTTTTCTCTCCCCGTAGTCCCAGTCCCTAGTTCTCATCTCCTCCTGTGTACTGAACAGCCTTTCCCGCTATCTCCTCCCTTTGAATCTCCTCTCCATTGCCTCCTTCCTCTTGCCTCCTTTCAAGCTGCCCACATTTGGCAGGACTCTCACATCTCTGGAATGCCATTTTTCTGTACCTTGGCCCCACTCTTTTTGCCAAGAAAGAGAAACCTCTTGAGATTCTGTTTCTGACTCTCTAGTTTTACATTTTGAGAAACCTCATCCATCCATGTGTTTTTAAGGACCACTAGCACTGAATGATTTCAACATCTGAGTCTCCTTCCCTCACCTTTACAAAAGCCCCATTTCACTGGGTCAATCATTTCATGTAGGGTCTACACAACATTCCTCTACCTCCAAAATATGTAAACTCACCATCTTCTCCAACCAATTGATTTCCCTTCACAATTCCTCCTCTGCTTACTCATCCTTGGTGACACTCAGCCTCTCCTCTGCTAGCCTGACAGTTATTCTAAACCTGCTTTTTTGCTGTTCTTTCCTTGCCATATACTTGCAATGACAACATTTTTATCTAGTCTCCTTCAGTAAAGTCTCTGATTTTCCCCTTTTACATTCTTCTGATTATGATTATTTAAAAACCACAATGGAAACATAATGAAGAAAGACAGATCTCCTAAAATTCTATCTCCTTGAACACAGTAAATCATTGTTTTTCTACTATTGCTTCTAGTACTTGTTTCTATGTATGTATTTACCTACATGCAAAAATAATGAGGATTCAATTTCATTTTATAATATTTAATGCCTGTATTTTTCAAAGTTTGATTGTCTTCATAAAAACTACATTTGGTTAATATTTTCTCAGAAGATGATATATTGTAACCTAATTTTTCTATAAGTGTAAACAGTCTAAATGTATAATCACTTTGCTTTAGTAAATAATATTCCACCAATCATATTTACCTATATTTTTTTCTTGCTTTTGCTGTATTTCCTTGGGACAAATTTTCAGAAATGATATCACTAGGCTTTTCTACCTTATTTTTCCTTCTTTATAACCAAAGACAACCTCTTTATGTCAACTCCTGCTTTATTTCTTTTCTGAAACCATTTTTTGCCACTCTCATCACTTTCCCATAGCTGGATTCAGTTACCCCTATGCAAACATCCTTTATTAACTGAGTAACTAACCGACTAGTCCCAAACCCCCATGATCATCCCTGTAACGCCATGCCCTCCAGTCCTTTTGCTCATAACTGTTATACGAATGTGAGTTAATTCACACACCTTTTGGGTTTTTCTCTAATTTGCCCATATGCATGTTTTCTTTTGATGTCTGCATTGCCCCCATGAGCGAAGGCACTTTTACTTATACTCCCTTTCCTCTCTCCTTTAATGTGCGATGTTCTACAGTAAGCACTCCAGGCAAACCTGTTACAGAGGCTTCCCACCAGTGAACTCAGTCTGCTGATCTCACATACTCACACTGCATACAATCCTAAGTGCCTCACCAACCACTGATGGATGCTCTCATTCCATAACAGATACTCACGACTACGTTCCCGTAAAAACCGGATCAGATCACATTGCTGTAAATGTGGAAAAAAGAGAGAGAAAAGAAACATGAGTACAGTGACCTTTGAGTAGCTGTGTTTATTTCCCAGTGAACTTGTTGAGTTTTCTTTCGTGAATAAGGAGATACATACAGAATATACGGGCTGCCCTGTCATGCCTTTAATGCCCTAGGAAAAACAAAAACAGAGCAAGTTAGTGTATGCCAACTGAAGTCTTCAGTAATAAAACAAGAGAAAACAAAAATCTTTCTTAAAAGCACAGCTGGTAGAGAGTAGTTAAAATATTCCTGAACCCAGTGGATTAACTGCCATGTATTTTCTCCACTCACATCGAGGGTGTAAATTTTTTGTTTCAGTGTTAGATCAGGTAAGCTAATGTCTACCAAAGTTAATGAAATTATTTTTCTTCAGTGATAAGAAGAAACAAAGGTATTTCTTAAAGATATCTGTACTAAAGATGTAATACTTAGAGGAAGGCATTTCTCATAAGAATACTTAAAATTATAAACAGCATACTTTCCAAAGGGCAGTGCCAAGGAGAGTAATTTATTGGAATTCAGAGGAACAGTTATATTACACATCAAGAGTGTAAAACACAGGAAATAAGAAACAGCCTCTACATATGAGAAAGACCCAAAGACAATTACACAGCAAAATACACAGCAAAATAAACATTACATAAAAGAAGAGTTACAGAAGTGTAACTAAATCATTACAATAAGCTCATAAATGCCAAGAGATTATGGACCAAAGCAAAACAAATAATTTGGTGAGATGAATCAAGGAAGACTTCCTGAAAGCAGTCAGTCTTTCTTGGCAGCTTGAGCTTTTCTCTTTGCTCCTTCTTACTTCCATTAATTAGGATCAGGCTTCTCCTTGGCTGTGATTCTTAATATACTTGCATATATAGGTTCCCTTGGGCAACTAATGAATGCCTGCATGCTCACTTAAAAAAAAAAAAACGTGATTCATGCTTACACTTGTACAATTTCATCAAGTCCCTCAGAGGTTCAACCAGGGATGTCGGCATAAGAACCTCTGTCCTAAATGACAACTGGGTCACTTCTCCATTGGTCCATCCATCCAATAAACAGTTAAAGGTCTGCTGAATGTCTACGTGGCCTATTGTGGATTGCTGGAGTTAACCAGAACTGTTGTGACATCCCTAATTGTACCCATTGGGACATACTAACTTTCTAACTCAAATCAGGAAATTATTCATCCACAAAAACACGTAGTGTCATTCTTTCTTTTACAAGTTATGGCAGACAACAGAAAATAATGCATGACCATTTAAACAGAGAGATAAACAGTTTCTGGCTAATACACAGAGTAGGCAGCCCACATTTTCCAGAGAATCAGAACCATGGAGAGGATGTCCTGAAAGAGCGAGCCCTTGAATAACTTTGAGCAAGTTCTTAAGCAGAGGCTGAGGATCAAGAGCCTGAGACAAGCCAAATTCCAGTCCAGACTAGCTGGGCCAAGCACAAGACCAGGAAGATGTGGGTGTCCCCAGATGAGAGCCCCAGAATCTGAGGAGATAAATCCAGAACAGACCAGATCGGCCCAGAGACTACATTCTCACTCACGTGACTAGGAATATTCACGCATTGCCTAATGCCAAAAAAGTAAATATTGTATCAGAGTATCCTTAAAGTTAGTTGATTGTCATTCTAACATGGATTCAGTTGTCCACAAAACCATTCATATTTTTTGTTTTTATAATAAAGTCCCAAGTTCAAGAACCTCTTCAAGTAATCAGAAAAAACTCACAATGCACAAAACAAGATAAGCAGCTTATCCATTCCTTACACAATGCTGCCTGGGCCTCCACCACAAAACACAGGTGCTCGCAATATTTAATTCTCACCTGACTGTGCTTGTTAGGAGAGACAGACGTGTAACTAAACCATTACAACAACCTGGGAGGCACTAAAATAGAGAGATGGCTATTTCGTCAGTGGGAGATATGCCTGACTCTGCCTGGGAACGCTTCCAGAGGTGCCATTTTTCTTTAATGGAATCATAGGGGGAAGTTGCGCCTATATTTCCAAATCTCTCTAAAGTCTAAATTTTGAGGATAGGAAGGCAACAATCGTGGTTTTGGTAAACTCCATCAACCTGGAGTTAATACTGGAGTTAACCAATATTAACTATTTACATTGTACTTTATATATTTTATTTACTATTAATTATTTTGCAATGTAATATTACTATTTGTAAACCTTACAGTTTACAAAGAGTATTCACATTTGATTATCTGATCCTCACAGCTACCTTTTGAAGTAGTTAGGATAGAATATGTCATCCCCTCATTTTACGAATAAACTGAAGGACCCAGTGACTGGGTCATACAGCTAGTAAAAAGCAGAATCTGGACTTAAATCCAGTGCATTTGACTTTAAATGTTATGCCCTTTCCATGGAACATACTGGAAACTACTATGTCCTACTTAGTTCTTATGGGTACACTTACTCTCTGTCCAGGAGGGCCTGGGAGTCCTTGAGATCCCTCTTCACCTCTCAAGCCTACAGTGAGCTGCAGATAGGAATATATCAATACATTAGTTTCAACATTGTCTATCTACGAGGACTACTTCAGTTTCTATAAGACTTTCTAATTAAAAAAAAATATTTTAAAAAGACAGCAGCTATTAATTGAAGTCAGGTAAATTGCTTGTGATATAAACAATGTATTTTTAATGACTAGTAAACATCCATTTCCCTCCTAGCCTCTTTAATAGTGATATACTTTGTTCCGGCACTGGCTGTGCATTTCAATCTTAATTAGCCATAAATTGGGATTGGTGCTAATAGGAAAAGCAATATATGAGGGCACACAGAGATCTAATAAGAAAACTCACATCTATAAAAGATCAAATAAGAAAAATGATTCCCTACACACATAAGAGGACATGAGTGGGTTAGGTCATTCTCATACCTCAAAGTGATGGATATGAATACTAATGAAATTCATCCAGCCAGATGGAAAGTATCCATTGAGTTGCATCTTTATTCACACTGATGGTGACCACTGATACGGCACTCAAACTTTCAAATGAAAGACTGCTTGTCTCAGCATTTTGCTTCTAAGTAAGTAAGCATAATATTCTACTCTTCACTTTGCTAATTAGAAGATCTCAATAGCCTTCCTCAAAACAGCCCATATGACCTTGTGATGTATAGTGGAATCGTCAGAAACTCTCAGGGACACAGTGGGAAGGACATCTTCCCACCGTCACCTTCATTTCCACTCACAGCATTAATATGCCAGGATTTAATATGCACCTTAGAAAAGACTGGAAGGCATTGACATTTCTTGGAACAGCAAGTTATCAGTTTGTAAATCTTTAAAATAGTTCTGATTTATTGAACCATAAACTTTTAGAGCTGAATGTGACCTTACATATCACTAAGTTCAATTCATATGTTACAGAAATAGAGACCCTGAAAAGATGTGTTGAAGGTCACAGCTAGCAAGTGGCATTTCAGATGCCCTTGGGTTGAATCAATAATCCCACATTTATTATTACAACATAAAAGCCAAAGTCTGCCAAAGGAATATTTATCATTTCTGGAATTATAGGCTACTTACTGCTAGTCCCCTAAATCCTTTGGGTCCAGGTCCCCCAGGAATTCCAGGATCACCAATATCACCCTGAAGATTCAGATATAAAAAGTTAAGATGTTGAAGTATTTGCTATGAAAGAATTTTAAAAACTCTCTGAACTCAAAATTAATTGATATTATGACAATTATATATTGATGAAGGCCAATGCAATATTTAATGTCATCTTTTCCTGTCATTTGGAACTAAGTCATTGGTACACTTATTCTTCAAACTATTTTAAATTTTCTAATAATATAAATATTTACATCTACATATCAATTCAGTGGTCATCCAGTTACTAAAAATATCCAAAGAAAATGCTTGAAAACCCAGAAAAACATTTGGAGTATTAGCTATGTGAAATAATAAATAATGAATTACTTTATAAATTCATAAAACATTTATGAAAAAGTTGAAGGTGAAAATAATATATTCTGCTTTTTAAAAATTTTGACAGTTATTTATCAATATGCTTATTTCACATTTATCAATAAGTTGAATTATGCTAATTTTCTCCCTTTATCAGTAAATTGGAAAATTGATCCTCTACAATGAGGGCTTTCTTCCTAATGGTTATTTATATTGTCCCTTTTGCACCCTTTTGTACTTAAGAATCTCTTTTGGTAATCAATTCACTAAAAACAGTTTTAAGAGGATTCAACAGTTGACAGTTTTCCTATACTTTATTTGATTAATTAAGATATTCTATTTTTAACTCATATTTTATATTTTAATATAAGCATCACTTATATAGAAGACATTGTTCTGGACATTTTTTTTTTTTTCAAAAGGGAGATCTTTTCACAGAATTCCAGTGTATAAAACAGACCTAACTTGAGCTACTCGGGTTGAGATGAAAGGTATGTCTGTTTCTACAGCATGAAGATGGATTTCAATCTGGCAGGCAATGAGGAATTCTTGAAGATGTTTGAGTAGGAAAGTTGCATAATTTGGCTATGCTTTGGAAAAAATCAAGGGACAGTAGTGTTTGGAATTAACTGAATCAGGGAGAAGATAGAAGTAGGAACCCAATTAGAAGGATATTGTAATCTTTCTCGTGAGAGAAAATAAAGAGCACAATAATGAAGAACAAATAGCAACAACCAAAGCCAAGAATATTGAATGAAATCACCAAGGCAGAAAATCAAGAAGAGAAGAGAGTACTGAACTTGAAAGGATACCCGGAGGTAGGCTTTCAAGGCAGAGGCATCAGGCAATGATGGACAGAACAATCTTTTCCAATGTAAAGATTCATAGGGGTTAAATATGGTTCTTTCCTCAGGAAGCCCAAGGAAAACAACTGTCCTGGGTTTCTCCTTATTGCTCCCATTTCATTCAGACCTACAGGTTTATCTCAGTTCTCAAGTAGAAGGTTAAGATCACGGTAATTTCAAAAGGTCATGCATACAATACCTTCTGCCCCACATCTCCAGGGAATCCTCTTGGGCCCTATAATTTTCAGCACAGAACAAAAATACATCAACATATCACTTCTGCAGTATGATCATTTCTTCTTGTATTATTTAGTTTGATTCATCAATTAATAAAAATAATTGCTTTCCATATTTACCTTTATTCCTTTTTGTCCCATCTGACCATAGCCTGGGATGCCAGAATCTCCCTGTGTAAACACACCAATTTATTTCAATTTCTCAAAAGTGGAAATTAATTTTAATCTATACTGGGGAGATTACAGTGTCAAAAGAGAAGCACTGGGGACTTCCATGCAGAAGGGGCCTAACTGGTGAACCTTGAACCCTGTGTTGCTGTGTTTTCCTCACTCCCTGATATGTTCCCTGTACTTCTTTGACCAGTTCCATTTGTAAACATTGCAGGAAGCAGAGGAGTGGTCATTCGGGACTTGTGGAGTCAGTGGCAGTTTCTTGCCTAGAAAATTAGGAGCTGATCCAAACAATACAGCTGAGGAACTCTCTGAAGAAGGATTATAAATAGTCAATAGACATACAGAAAAAATGTTCGTCCTCACTGGTAACAAAACAATGCAAATTTGACCCTGCAATGAGATCGTATTTTTGTCAATGGTAAAGATGGAAAAAAGTGACAATACCTGTTGTTGTGGATGCCCTAAAACAAACACTCTTCTAAAATAACACGTGGATCCACATACCGTTTGAATTTTCCTAAGGGCACTTTATAATGGAGTGCAAAGCCTTTATGAAACATGTACATATTCTTTGATCCAGCTATGCTACTTTAGAAATCTCTACGTAGAAATTCATTATGGCTTTGTCCAAAATTTTAGTTAGGTACATGAATGTTCATTGCTGTGTTGTTTATCACAGTGAAAAACTGAAAGCAAGCTAAATAACCATTAACAAGATATTGGTCAAATAAATGAATGTACATGCATTTAGTAGAATATTTTGAAGCTACTAAAAGTGATGTTGAGGGAAAAATGTAATGACATGAAAATATGCTCACAATACGTTGTTTAGAGTGATTTTTAAAAATTTCCAGGATAATGATAAATAGCTCAAAATGATGGATTATAAGTAATTTTTCTTTCTTTCCTATCTTTTATTCTGGGTAAATTTTCTTTCCTTCTCTCTCTTCCCTTCCCCTCGTTCCTTCCTCTCTTCCTTCCTTCCTTCTTTCTTCCTTTACTTTTAGATTCATGTTTTCAAATTAGATCACATAAAAAGACAATTTTTAAGACTTGCTGGACCATTCTACAAGCATTTAATTTTATGGATAGAAAATGCATTGAAGGAAGATTGAAAGCCTTTATGGAGGCAATGGATTGTGGGTGTAGCCATAAGTCAAAAACTTGCTGTGCCCTAATCACTTGTTCTCCTGTAAGCCTCTGGCTCCTTATGTTTATTTGCCATATTTTTTCTTTTTTTTTTTTTTTTGCAATTTTCAAATATACGATATATTGTTATTAACTGTGGTCACCATGATATACACTAGATCTCTTGAACTTATTCCTTCTTTCTAATTGAAATTTTATATACTTTGACCAAAAGTTACCACCTCTGGTAACTACCATTTTAATTCTCTGTTTCTATGATTTTGACTTTTTTTACGTTTCACCTATAAGTGAGATCTTGTCGTATTTAACTTTCCATGCCTGGTTTATTTCATTTCACATAATGTCCTCTGGATTCACCCATGTTGTCACAAATGACCAGATTTTCTTCTTTTTAAAGGCTGAATAATATTCCATTATGCATACATACCACATTTTCTTTATCCATTCATCCATTGATGGATACTTAGGTTGAGTCCATATTTTCTTGGCTATTGTGAATAATGTTTGTGCTTGGTAAATTTTCTATGATATCTATGTATAGCATTTGTAATAAACATTAATTTTTTTAAAATGAAATAACTGTTCCTATACTGGCTACTCCATGAGCTGAGATCTTGTTACAGCCAAAGCCATTAGGACAGAGTGCAGGCCTAAAAATGCAATGTCCCATTTCGTAGCCCTGTTCCTCTATCTCTCATTGTCACCCTAGACTTTTGCAAGAAGGGAGTGGAAATGGGCGGTGTTGTTTTTCAAAGGATATGCATCTATGTGGCCACGCTGGTTGTTAAGGTATTGAAATGCCCTGTTCTAACTCATCCATTATCCTCTCTGCCTACCCCCCTTCTCCTGCTTGCTGTTCTCCTTCACATTGACAGACTGTCTATGGAATGAGAGCTTTAGCAGGTGGGAGAAATGTTCGCACACCTTCCTAGATGCTGAGATACCTTCCACGCCCTCCACACTTGAGCTGATGGTGTCAACCCCTTCTCTTTACCTTGGAACTGAATACTCAGATCTGGGGAGGGGAGGGACTTCAAAACTTCATACCTGTCTTCCTCGCTGCCCAGTTTGCCCCACTGGCCCTGGATCTCCAAGAAGTCCAGGCTCTCCCTAGTAAGTGGGACAAGAAGAACTTCAGATCAGTAAAATCAAACCTGGTTCCTACCATCAAACCTGGTTCTGTCCACTCAATGAGAAGACTCAAAGTTCTCAGTGAGGGGTCAGTGCTCACTAAGGGGATGAGAGTAGGGCACAAATTATAGTTTTTCCATAGCTAGCAGAAGATGCCTAGCACAGCCCAGAGCTGGACTGATGTGCTGCTTTTCCAGTGTTATAAAAGGACTGAAGGAAAAGGCAAAGAGTAGAAAATTGACTCCAGGGAAAGTTGACTTATTTGCTGATGCACTTGCCTATCCAACAATTACTTATTGAACTGCAAAATAAACACATTAGGGGTGGTCCTGCCCTCACCTGGCTGGAAAGAGAAATAATTAGACAAGCAATTATCATATTGTGAGATAAGGTTCAAGGTGCTGTGGGAGCAAACAGAAGAGTAGTCTAAGTCAGATTTGGTGGGCCTGAGGAGGCTGCCGAAAGGCAAGGAGCAGAGAAGCTGAGGACTGAAGGATGAGTTGTATGTCAGGGGACTGGGCAAGGAAGGGGTGAGAGTGATCCAGGAAGAGGGAAGGCATTAGTGACAGGCCTGAGGCAGGCACACAGGAGGGAGGTAAGCAGTGAAACCTTAGAATGAAATGGGGCAAATAGCAAAGGACCGTGTAAATGACTCCCTACCTTATTGATAAAAAACTGCATATGTTTAAGGTGTAAACATGATTTCATATACATACATGTTGTAAAATGATTGCCACAGTTAAGTTAGGTAATGTGTCTATTGTCTTATCTTGTTACCACTTTTCCTTTTTTATTTTTGCTTTATGTTGAGAGCATTTAAGATCTACTCTCTTAGCAAAATTTCGAGTATACGATACTGTATTGTTAACCATAGTCACCATGTTATACATTAGCTCCCCAGAATTTACTTATGTTGTAACTACCTTAAAGTTTGAATATTTTTGTGGAGGCCATGGGAAAGCCAAGACCCATGATACAATTTGCTGGGCTCAGTGTAAAAGGAAAACTCAGGCCCTTTGCTTAAAAAATGAGATTCAAGACCATGACAGCAGAGCATTAAACTCAGCAGGGGGTTCTTCTCAGCAAGGCCACCTGTGTGGCTGCACAGGTCACAGGACCCTGGAGAGGGGGCCATTGAAAGGTTTTAAACAGGGGAGTCAGATTCTGATGAGGTCAATAGTTTGCTCTCTGACAGTCCCCAACAGAGCCACCTCAGAGACAGTCGTGGTTTCAGAACCGCATGCACTAACGGATTTGAGTTCTGACACCACCCATCCTGCACTCAACTCAGCAACCACGTGCATTCTTGAATTCAGGAAATCAGGGAGTGAAAGCGATCTTTTAGAGTTGTTTCTGATGGGTGAGATCACTCTCTCCTAGGGAAACAGCAGCTTCATGGAGAGGTCAGCAGTTAGAAACTCTTTGCTCAATGGAAGGAAGAGAACACATTAGCGGAATGCTGGTGACTTGCTGATGGTGCTTGGATTCAACCATGTGAGGAATTAACATGAAAATCAGGAAGAAAATTGAGGTACTTTTGTACTTGAAATCCATAACAAATAACATTTACTTTTTTCAAGAGGGAATTCATGTCCTCTACAGGGACATTGATGAAGCTGGAAGCCATCATTCTCAGCAAACAAACACAGGAACAGAACAAACACTGCATGTTCTCACTCACAAGTGGGAGTTCAACAATGGGAACATATAGACACAGGGAGGGAAACATCACACACTAGGGTCTGTCAGGGTGTGGGGGGCAAGGGGAGGGAGAGCATTAGGACAAATACCTAATGCATACGGGGCTTAAAACCTAGATGACAGGTTAATGGGGGCAGCAAACCACCATGGCACGTGTATACCTATGTAACAAACCTGCCTGTTCTGCACATGTATCCCAGAACTTAAAGTATAATTTAAAAAAAGAAAATATCACACTGTACCTCATACATATATGCAATTATTAATTATCCATTAAATCTAAAATATGTTTTTTAAAAGAATTAAAAAACAGAAATAATATTTACTTTTTTCCCCAAAAGTCCAGGTCTTCCAGTGCTCCCTTTGGCTCCCATTAGCCCAGGAGAACCCTGAAAAAAATATTAGAGACTAAAAAGTTGGCACCATAGTAATTCCTAGAAAGCCCATTAGAAACACTTCACTTTCCTTCATGGTATTCCCAACAACTCCTTGATGCAGCCTTAACAAAAGATCCAGCCACTCAGGAGGAGAGAGGCAGATGGCAGGGCTGAACCAGATGACTCAGGTCCCAGTCCTAGTTAGAGGACCACATGTTTTAATCTGCAGGGACATCATTAGTCCATATGGGGCTTAGTGAGAAAAAGAAAAGGCACCCTTGAGTCAACACATGCTATTTTCAAATGTGGGGAAATTGTCATAATGCACTGATTATTTTAGAACAAGACACTTTGCTGCCACCTTTGTGCACCGTACCACATGCGTATACATAACGGCATGTGGGATATGTTTCAGCTTTCCAATAAAAAAATGGGCAGAAGTGTCTTTCACACACATATTATCCGAAAGATAACTGACCACACATGCTAGGAATATAGAAATATGGGTATCCCTTGCCTTGTGAACTCTCGCTGTCTGAGCAGAACTGAATAGATTTAGAACATTTTTCCTACGAATCCTTCGCCATCCAGACTATTATTTCTCAGGAAAAAAACAGATTCAGATAATGAATTCAAGAGGTGAATGTAGGAATCAAGTAGTTTTGAGTAGTGAGGGATCTTTGTACAGTCAATTTTAAATATCTGTAGTCAAGGGAGATATATGTGCATGGCACGTATAAATTTTAAAAGTTAGAAAAAGCAGAATAATGTATCAGTTTTTGGAGGAAATGTTATGATTGGGCAATATTTGTATTCTTCCAAATGCTTTCTTTAGGCTGATGAAATGGATCTGTGCTTTCAGAGTAAAACCCCAGTGAAGGAGAAAGAGGAGTGCTTTAGCTATGTATGAGGAATCTGAACTGCGCTAAAATTTTGCCCCAGATAATCCAGAAATGAAATAATGTATATGTAAATAATACAAAAAATTATATGTGAAGATTGTTTTGCAGTAAGAGGAAAATAATTGTTGAGAGTCATTGAGCCTAATGTCTCCATCACTTACCTGAGGTCCTTTGTGCCCCTGGCTTCCTTTTTCTCCTTTCCTGCCAGGATTTCCCTGTGACCCCTTTAGTGGTAACAAAGGAAATATAATGCAATGATGTCAATGAAAGCTTACTTCTCAGTGTTTCTTTTGAAACATCCTGCAGAAAAGCAATGATCCAACCCTTCCCACAGCCTTTTAACCCTGAGATTAAGCATGTGTTAAGAGTAATTGAGGACAGGCCCAGTGGACTCAGTGGTCCAGATCTTTTTAAGGAATTCCCTGCCTGGATATAAGACCTTCATCCCTCTCCTACAGAGGAAATAAAAATAGGCCAAAGCAGGAAATGAAACCTATAAGAAAAGGAAGTAAGATGCAAACAACAGTCAGATGAATTCCTTTAAAGGGACGGGTTACCTGAGCCAAAGCCCTTATCAATGTGTAAAATAGAGAGTAAAGTTGTTTCAAGTTAGCACAAAAGGGCATCTTAGCAGCAGACCCTGATCAGAAGAATCAAAGTCTATTTTTCTGCCATATTTGCCATCAAACACATTGTTCTCATGTGGTTCTCTCATATAGAAGCAAAAACGTTTCTTCCTATTGAAGTATCAGCTGTGAAACGGCCCTGGGCTGCCCAGGAGCCACCAGGTGAGCCTTGATTCACTGTCTCAATGTCAAAGGGACGCTTGGATGTCTGAGGTATCTGAAGTAACTGTCATTCCCACCCCCACATCCACTCCAAAGCCTGGGAATGGATCTAGACTGGTCCCATCCCTAGCCAATCTAGAGAAACTGCTAGCTCATGGTTTGGTTCAGGGACCCCAGAACCACTCAAGAGAATCCCAAATTCCAGTTTGGTCCTAATATCTGAACTTTCTAGAAAAAAAAAAATGAATTCCTGGGAAGACCTTAGAATAGGCACAGCTACACAGGCCCTTCCATACAAGTCCAGGCTTAAGTTGGGCTTCATGTAAAGTGGGCTTCATAAGACGACTAAACAACAATGTGTTACAAAGCTACTCTGCAGAATGACCACAGCTTCCCCTTCTGGCATGGAGGGAAGCAAGACTACGATGCTCTGACTTCCGATGCTCATATTACTAATGATATGACCATGAAAGATGCAAATGGCTCACAGAAAGCCCTATCAGTCATATTTCAGAAATACTGATACCCCTGTAGAGTTAGCTTTAGGCAAGTCAAGTAGCAGTTTCCAACTTCCAACTAATTTTCCTTTGTAGGAGCCTGTATATGCAGGACTCCAGCTATGGAAAATCAATTTGTTGATCCTGGTGTTAATTACTAATATGAAGGTATTAATCATTCATTATTACTAATATGAAGACACAATTCCAGGTGAGCACAAGAGCACATCTTTCCTCTACAAAGGCTTATTAGTGACCTGCAAATAATGAATCAAGTTTGATGGGACAAAATCATCCCCCACCCCATGATGGGGAATGCAAAATAGGGCAGGGGGCAGATTCTCAGTTATTTATTTTTATACAGAAATACCTGCCTTCTTCCCATCAGAATAACTTTACAGCATTTATCAATATTTACAAAATATTCTAACACACCTGTGGGCCTTGTAATCCTTCAGCTCCCAAAGTGCCTGTAGGTCCAGGATTTCCTGGTTCTCCCTGATGAACAAGAATTTCCAGTGTCAAGATTTTCTACACATTGTTTCCATATAGATTTTCTCTTTATAGTATGTACATCAGAAATAGGTACTATTTTGTCTGACTCATGGCTCACCCTCTACTTGGCCTAGGATTTTACTGTTCTAGACTGTCCAAGGAATGAACATAAACTTGTTTCTTATTCCAATAAGGAATTTTTACCTCTTGAAGCTGATTCCCAAAGCACATGAAGAGCAGTCAAACGCACAATATTTGGAATTGCACAGGTTCTGCCTGTCTACCAGGTATCTATCAGGCAGGCTTTTCCTTAGGACTGTTCTGTTCCTGGGAGCTGCAGTGATCATTGGGTCAGTGGGGATAACGTCCAGTACTGGGCACTTCCTCTACCCTTGTCAAATGCTTACTGATTTGATTCCCAGCACCACCTACATGGGAGAAACGTCCTTGGTCCCATCAACCACAGAGAACAGGAAGTAAAGGTTACATACTGAGACACCTTGGAGTCCCCTTCGACCTTCTCTTCCCTGGGACAGAAAAGGCAAAATGTTAGTATGTGGATCTCTGAATGGAGGGGTTCCTTGAGGCAAATCAGCCTCTTTCATTCTCTGATTGACATAAGTAATGAGCAGCTCATAGAAACAGTTTCCCTGAGGTGTTTTCCATAGACAAGCTTTCACACTGGGCACTTAATTACAGACTAACATTTGGAGGATTGATTGCAAACCAATCTAAAAGTCATTACAGACCCAGTTCCAGTCTGACAGCCTCTAACAATTATCCAGGAGGCTGTTTAGAGAATCAAATCATCCTGAAGATCCTGTCTTCTGTATTTCCATCTCCAGCAAATTCCAAAAAGAACTGTCTGCTAATCAGAGCTTTCCCACGGGAGAAGAGCTGTGGCACATCCCTTTCTCTCTGTCCTGGGCCCGTGATTGTATCTTGGGAGAAGGTAAAAAATTTCTAGATTTAGTGTCTCGTATGGGCCCGCTGGGGCTAGTGTCTATAGAATTCTACAAGAAATAAATGGCTGATGGGGTCTGCTCAACTATGGTGATCCAAATGTCCAAATGGCTACCACTAGGTTCAACAGAGGACAAAAAAGCCTGGCTGATCCCTGAAGCCCAAATCTCTGTCTGTGCCTATCCGGAAGCAAGTTCACATTGCCAGCTCAGGCCCTCTACCTCGTGGTTGTCACACAGTCTCCTTTCCAGAGGGTAACCAAATGGGAAAAGGATTCAGGCCCCAGATCCTAACTTCCTTATCCCTAAACAGCAAGAATAAGATTTGTACCCTCATATCACCCCCTCAACCCCTGTCCTTGCTTCTTTGAGAGAGCCGTGGAACATCTTGACCACCAATTCACTTAGTGTTGTGATAAACAACTATGATTACTTTAGGTACAAAGCAAGTATTTTTTTAAAAATTCTATTCCTTCATTCATTTATTCAGAAAGGTAGCCATGGAAATTATTTCAGAACTGCTGTTTTCTTTCAACTGCCCACCTTCTGAAGGTCCTTAGAATAAACTACCAGATCAAGTGTCAGCTCCACCAGGTTGGCTAGTGCTTACAGTGATTCCACTGAGGTTCTGCCCCTTGATTCAAGGGGCTTTTTGCTTTTAAGATGCAAATCCTCTTCGAAAGAAGTTACCCATTGAAACTTTTCAGCTATTTATACCCAGAATCAATCTCCAAAGCTCTTGACATAAAAAAGCAGAGAAGAGACAGTAAACAAAGATTGAGGCTACGGTTCCCATGACATCACAATTCTGTCTTCATTAAAAAGCAAGGATAAAATAATGTGTATTCTGTGTAACAGACTGTATGCACAATGGTTATAGATATGTCCTTAAAAGTCAGGCAGACTTGAGCTCAGTTTTGTTCTTTAAAGCCTGTGTGGCAAAGGGAAATTGCCCAATAAACCTCACCCAGTGTGGTTAACAGCCCAGACTCTGGAGGGAGACGGATTGAATTCAAATCCCAGTTGTGCCATTTACTAGCTCTTGTGACCTTGGGCAGCTTGCCCAAGGTTTCTTGATTTTTTTCATTTGTAAAAAATGGATATAATAATAGTATCTACCTCACAGGTATGTTATGAGGATTAAATGAATTAATATTTGAATGTGATCTGAGCAAGACCTGGTGCAAAATAGATGCTATAGAAGTATTCTTTGTGGATGGCAGGCAAAAAGCATAGGGCCTGGAATGTGGATTCCAGTGTGGTTTTCAGTGTGTGGATCCACTGTTTTGGCAACAACGGGTAAAACAATTAATTTACATAAGTTGAAATTCTGTCACATAGAAGGCAATGTCTTGGATTGGCTTATGTTGTTTAAAATTTATCATCCACTTAAGATGCTCCCACCCTCACAGAGAATTCTATTCTGCATCGGAAAGTTGGGGGACAGGGTAGAAAACCTGATGTCGTTTTATATCAATGTTACCTTGTTTAATTCAGGAGAAAAGAAATTACAAAGGAGGAGGTCAGCAGGGAAATGGGTAGAAGATGAGGAGGGAGCCGAGAGCCTCATGTCCTTAGAATGACTTAAAAGTAATTGGCTGGTTTGTCCATGATTTATTGCCTACACTGCTCCTGGCATCTCTTTTTTTAAAGTACCTGATTGATGTGTCAGTTATAAAGCTATTTTAAACTAAAAGTATTTCCTCTTAAACCAACAAAAATACACACTTATCTTTAAAATTTATAGCATTTAGCTCATCTTGCTGCTCTACTGTTTCCTCTTATTACATTTTAATTCTCTCGTGTGAAGAAAATGGCAAAGTCCCAAAGATTTTACCAGAAGCTCTGGGAAGCCTAACCCCTTCCAACTCCAGCTCTTCTCCTTCAAGAACTGTGGTTCAAGATAAACAAAGGCAAGTGGTATAAAAACACATTTCTTCACCATCTATCCCAGAGAGAAGGGCAATCAGCCACAGCCTTCAAAATAATGAGAAGATTCCAAGTTTGTACTAGAAAAGAAATCCAAGCATTTTCAATTCCTTCTTGAACAAAACTCAGAGCCAAATCTAGGACTTTGTCCATTGTTCTCTTTTAATGATGTCCATGCTGAGCACATGAGAGAGGAGTTTTTAATACATTATAAATATCACTTCTAGCTTCAGTAGTCCACAGAAAGAAAGGCTATTTCTTGGTTGTTCCTTTTAAAAAGATAGAGAAGTCCAATGTCTCCGTTTTTTGCTGTGACAGGCTTGATATAACATGGGATGCTGTAAAGTTATGCCAGCACCTCAAAGTTGCCACTTGACCCTAATTGCCAGTGCTTTGGTCCATTCAGGAAGAATTTATTCATGAGTCCTCTTTCTCATTGGCAACATGTAAAGAGAAAGTATATTTACCTAGTTCATAATATTCTTATGTAAGCTACCAAAGGAGAGCTTTTGTGTTAAAATCATTGGCTCTCTTCAAAGACATCCCAAAACACCTGGAAGGTGGAAAGGGAAAGGGCGACTATATTTCAGTGTTTCTTAACCAGGGGTGATTTTGCCTCTCAAGTCCACCACTACTATACCTACCACAGATATCTGACAATATTTACAGACATTTTTGAATGTCACCAGAGGGTAGTGGGGAGGGGTGGTGCTGCTGATACTAGTGGGTAGAGACCAGGGATGCTGCAAAACATCTGGCAATGCATAGCATAGCCATTCACAAGAAATAATTATCTGGCCCCAAATTTCAGTAGTGTCAAGAGGGAAAAGCCCTGAAAAATATTTCAGCCCTGAATCAGTCAACTCTGTGCAATAAATATTCTGAATGCCTCTGTCATCTTCAAGTGGTAAGGAGGGGAAATAAATGTCCACAGAAATACTTACCCTGCTTCCTGTGGAACTAGGACTGCCTTGCACCCCTTTCTGTCCAGTTCTACCCTAAAAATATAATAATTCCCTCAAGATCAAAAGGCAGAAATTCTGAATAAATCATAAAGGCATCAGCATCAAAACCTCAAGCACTATTAAAATGGCAGAATAAACATGTCATACTGTGATCATTCTGCATATTAACAGTCAGTTATACACGTCCTTTAAAGAAGAAAAAAGCATAGCAACATGCACTGCTACTACATTTTCCCAAATAACATCACTTGCCAGAAACTTCATAATTTTGCTCATAAAAGTGTACCCTACTACAAATATGCATACCAAAAAATAAAGGTCTTTTAAATGTGGTCTTAAGAGCATTTGTTCAATTACAGAAAGGTTACATATCTTACTAAATTTACTTGGATCAATAACAGAATTAATCAACTCATAGATAAAATAGATCAAATTACTTGTCTTCCTTGTTCTCCTTTGGAGCCCTTTTGTCCTTTGATGTTACTGTTTTGTCCTGGATTACCCTAGAGAAAGATTTTTAAAAGTAGTTTAGAATCCAGAAATACCAGCTTTTTCTCCAAAATGGTATGATGTTCAAGTACTAAGCTAATTTGGGTCAAGGTATAAGAGGTGTGAGAAAATTTTTCACATTTGAAACTTGCAGGATTTTGGAAAAAAAATAAAAGCAGTACTTCCTCAAGTTTGAAGATTTGGCAATAAATAAATAATTAAAAGAGTTCTTGCTACATTGAGATTTTCCCTTTTCTATGATGGCAGCTTCACTGGTGCACTGGTTCAAACATTCTTAGGCTATTCCCTCAAGGGTGTAAAAAGATTCCCCTGTAACTGAGTCTGCAAATAGTGAATCTGTAGGTCTGCAAGATTAGAAGTCCAATAAATAAAGCTATGGAAATGTTCTCCCAAAGGAAGCAGAAAGTCTCAACGTACCATAAGGACTCAGAAGATGGCCCTAACCCAGATAAGATGCAAACAGACTTTTCCCAAAGCCTCAGCCAACACCTATCACCTCTACTCCTAAGACAAGCATGTGCCTACAGGGTAGCAGGAAACACAAAGGGAAAGGAGATAGGAACTGTGGAGCAAGTATAAAATTCAGGGCCAGTTGGGCACTGAAAACTTACTGGATCTCCTGGGAAGCCCTTCTCTCCATACTGCCCAGGGGCACCTCTGGAACCTGGGCTGCCCTGAAAAAAATGAAACAAATTTCTGAGTTAGCTTGTAAGAGGTTTGTATAATGGTGTTAAATGTGAAGTTTTGTGTGTAGGGGGGTTAATCAGATAAAATACTCCTTGTCCTTCATCACAGTCAGATTCCCTTAGATTTCTCAAGCAGTACTAAGTCTAGTTTTAAGCCTATGGTCAGGATTATTTGTACTGAGGCTCAGAAACCGGTAAACTTCTCATGGTCTAACATAGCACTGTCCAATAGGAGTTTCTGCAGTGATGAAAATGTTCTATATCTGCATTCATCGATATGGTAGCCATTAGCCATATGTGGCTATTAAGCACTTAAAATGTAATCAATGCCACTAAAAAGCTTAATTTCTTAATTAATTAAAATTTAACTTTAAATAATCACATGTGGTTAGTGGCTATGATATTGGACATCCTAGCCAGTCTAACAACTTCTAACATTTGTAATTAAATTGCCCACTAGAAACTTCCATAAGGATGTTCTACTGGGGGAACCAGCCCCCAATATTTCAACGTACGTTCTTTTCTATTTTCCCTAAGTGTTGGCTGGTCTGATAAAGAAGGGGAAAGAATACAAAAGAGAGAAATTTTAAAGCTGGGTGTCCAGGGTGACATCACATGTCAGCAGGTTCCATGATGCCCCCTGAGCCGCAAAACCAGCAAGTTTTTATTAGGGGTTTCAAAAGGGGAGGGGTGTACGAATAGGGAGTGGGTCACAGAGACCACATGCTTCAAAGGCAATAAAATATCACGAGGGCAAAGAGGCAGAGTGAGATCACAAGGCCAGGGTGAAACTAGAATTACTGATGAAGATCCATGTCCTGCTGGGCACACATTGTCATTGATAAACATCTTAACAGGAAACGGGGTTTGCAAGCAGACAACCAATCTGACTAGAATTTGCCAGGCTGGAATTTCCTAATCCTAGCAAGCCTGGGGACGCTACAGGAGACGAGGGCATATTTCATCCCTTATCTACAACTCCATACAACAGACACTCCCAGAGCGGCCATTTTAAAGACCTCCCCCTGAGAATGCATTCATTTTCCCAGGGTTATTCCTTGCTGAGAAAATAATTCAGCAATATTTCTCCTATTCGCTTTCTGAAAGAAGAGAAACATGACTCTCTTCTGTCCAGCCCCGCAGGCAGTCAGACTTCATGGTTATTTCCCTTGTTCCCTGAAAATAGCTGTTATCCTGTTCATTTCAAGGTGCTCATTTCATATTGTTCAAACACACATGCTTTACAAACAATTTGTGCAGATAATGTAATCATCACAGGGTCCTGAGGCAACATACATCCTCAGCTTACAAAGATGATGGGATTAAGAGATTAAAGTAAAGGTAGTCATAAGAAATTATAAGAGTACTGATTGGGGAAGTGATAAATGTCCATGAAATCTTCACAATTTATGTTCTTCTGCTGTGGCTTCAGCCAGCCCCTCCATTCAGCTTCCCTGACTTCCCATAACATGTTCCATTGTCATCTCAAACCTAATTATTTCCAATTAAACTTGCCCAAGCCAGGATCCTTGCAGGCATATTGACTGACTCTCTATTTCCTATTCCTCTAGTCGCCTATATCTGGAGATTTCAGGTCCTAGAACCAAGACTAGTGTGAGATGAGAGACGCACCTAGGATGCAGAATTGAGGTAGGTATTTACTCCACATAATTCTGCCCCTTTTGCACCTTAGGTGTCCTGTTAGCCTCGCTTCAGTCTGAGCCCTGCTACAACTTTAGCATATTTTGTGTCTGTTCTCACTATCATTGCTTTACTTGAAGGCTTCATCACTTCTCACCTGATTTCTACAGATCTACCTCTCATCTTTGCCTTGCATCTATGTCATCTCCAAAATATTGTCCACATTACTGCAAGTAATATTTCTAAAATGTAAATCTGATTGTGATTCTTCTGCTTAAAATCTTTCAAAGGCTCCCCATTGCCTTATGGTTAAAAACCAAGCTCTTCCACATCACTCGCTAGTGCCCTCCCAATCTCTTGATCTCTTCCCACCATGTCTTGAACCTCACCTCCCAGTGCCTGTATTCTAATGCTCCCTCCAGGAAGAAAAACTTGGCAGTGCCCTGAACCCTCATGTTTTTGCTTATGCTACTCCCTCTGTCTGGATGCCCTTCTTCCACATCTTTGCCTTGCTGAATTCCTGTTCTCTTCAGCTCAGAGGACATTTCCTCCAAGAAGATTTTCTGGACAACCCCTGCCCCTAGGCTGAGTTACATGCTCTTCTCTGGACTCCCATGTAAATATCTAAAACATGACCTCAATCACATTTTATGTAATTCTATTGATGTATCTGTCTCTCCAACTATACTGTGGGATCTTTGAAGACAAGGGCTGTGTGGTTCACCTCTGATTCTTATTAAATAAGAATATATGCCTGGCCAATGACAGGTGTCTGGCACATGACAAGCGTGACAAATGACAGGTGCTCAAAAATATTTCATAAATAAATGGATCAGAACATAAAAGTAGAGCTGCTTGAAATCAAGTAGGCATACATTAATGAGTGTTGAAATAAATGTAAAGTTAAAAAATGTTTCACAGTGATTTGCCACCACAGCCACCAAAATAATTTTGTCTCTTTCTCTTGCTTTTTTTTTCTGACATAATAAAGACAACACAGAAATTACTGACATTGACGGAAATGTTGTGGTAAAAAACAAATGAACAAAAGAAACCACTGACAGGTAAAAGCATTGATTTTCATACATGAGAAAGATGCCCATAGAATAACCTCGTGTGTGCTAAATTTTTCTAGGTGGAAATTATTGAAAATTACATAGTTACCCCCTTGCTCCAATCAGATATGCAGCACATATTCAGTATTAATAGGCCTTCATTATGTGGTTAAGTCAGTTGTAAATTTTATCCCCTATAACCACTGACACACAGCTGTTAAGACTGTCTCTGTCACCAAATTCTTCTTCTTTGATGTATTGAAAGGAAAAGTGTTACCTGAGATCCTGGATCACCTTTTTCTCCTTTTATTCCAGGAAATCCATGAGAGCCCTAAAAGAAGACAAGAAAAACAAAATTCCCACTTAAAAAAATTTTAGCAGCCTCATGACAGTTTTATAATACTTAAAGAAGTATGGCTTACCTCTTCCCCATCAAGTCCATCAATCCCATCGTCTCCATGTCCTCCCTGAGAGACGACAATAGACAGCTGTCAGGTAAAAGCAGGTCTCTGCCACATGCTTATTGGGAAACTAATCCCATTTGGAAATCAAATTAAACTAAGAAAAAACTCCAGTACCTTAGGTCCAGAAAATCCTCTGGGTCCCTGCAAAAGATGAAATATCTCTCACTGACATATCAAAGACAGAGTGTGGATTCAAAGACTGCCTCTCTAAAGTGAGTGAGCATGTATTTCTTTACTTGTTATGAGCTATACACCTACAAAGAGGTTAGAGATGGAATTTATTAATGCTAAAGACTCCTTGACATTATTAAAAAGCAGAATTAATCTGCAGACAGGAAAACTCATCGATATAACTGGATAAAGGAAAAGAGAGAGGAGTGATGGAAGAGAGAAAACAAGGGAGGAAAGGAATGGGGAAAGAGAGGGAGAGAATGTTATAGAGAATTGGAAATAACATTTACAGAAGAGCCTTACCTTCTCACCCTGCTCCCCTGGACATCCTGCAATCCCTCTATCTCCTTGGGGTCCTGCGTCTCCTCGTACTCCCTAAGAAAAGGAGCACAGACAGGTACCCAACATGATGTTTTTGCCAGAAGCTGCCAGTGGTTTATTTTCAGAGTTAAGACAAAGCACATGGGCACTATGAGCTTTAGAAAAAGTGCATTCTCTTCAACCTCACTCATTTACATCTGTTTTTCCCCTCTATATTCAAACATGTTTCCTGTTAATCTTCAGGGCTTTTTATGGACCCAAGATCACAAAAAGGTGCAAGAAGAGCTCAGCCACTTCCCTACCTGATCAAACAGCACAGTGGCTGCACTTTGTAGCCACATTCCAAGACTCCGGTAATTTCATCTAGGGCCCTAATGCTATACTGGGAGAGTCAGCATTGCTGACAGTAGACTCACAAGTCAGTGCTAGGGTACTGCTGCTGAGTAGAAACAGTTGCTGGAAAGTGCCACTACTAGGAGAATGAGAAAGCAAAGGTGAGAAAAGCCAGTCCTCACAGGAGGAATCACCAGGTTAAAGACCCCCAAAGTCAGACTATCCGTGCAGGGATCAGCACTGAAGGTCAATGATTTCTGTGTCTCCCAACAACCCTGCTTCTCCAAGGAAATATTTAAATACAGATAAATGCTAAAGTAAAATGGATCTTAAGAAAGGAACAGTTTTGTGCTTTTTGAGGGCAGGAACCTCAACCGTGTCTTTCACCATCATGTCCCTTGTGACTGGCTCATGTCTAGGTGCATAACAGGTGTTCCCATTTTGCTGCATGAATAATTAATTAGTAATGAGCTTAATTCTTGCTTTGCCAGTAAGAGAGGGAGAAAGGATTTGCCTTCATCCTGCTTTGCTTTCTTTATTCTGAGGATCCTTCCCTGCAAAAGGAGGAGGCCTTGCCCATGGCCACAGGTTGCTGAGAGGTACCTTAGCCCTATGGCTTCCCATTGCCTGGACTTTCTGCCAGTGGTGGGCTCGGCCAGGCAGGTGGGTGACACTATTCCCCACACTGAAAGCACTCTCATGCTAGTTTGGTAGTCTCCAAGAACCCTCGGAGGGTACAGAGTAGGTGATTTACAGCACCCCTTAGTGGTCATTTTGTAAACTAGGTCAGCCATTAGATTGTAGAGGAATTTATAATTGCTTGCAGATGAGAAAACAGAGAGGTCAAGAAGTTAGGTATCTTGTTCAAGGACCCACATCTAGGCCAACTCTTAGCAGTCTGACTCTAGAGTCTTTGCTTTCAATCCTTATAACTTGCTGCCCAGATGAGGAACTGGCCTTGATCTAAGGTGATAGAAATCCAGTCTGGATGTTTTCTGAACTTTTTCCATCCCAAACAGAGCCACCTAAGTGGTTTCCATTTCTTCAAATTCTTTCTCATAATTTGATTCACGAGAAAGTGAGAGTTCTGGTTTTAAACATGGAGATCTGCAAACCTCTGTGCAGCGTTTGACCATGAAGCCATGCCTCCCGTCTTGAGGGATGCCTTGCCCTCTTCCCTTTCCATGGAAGGGAGTATACTCCAGCCTTGGCCCAAAGCCATGTACTAAGCACTGGGTTTTAGGTCTAAAGAGAGCTCCCTGGCAGATAACCTGCTGTGCCTTGCTTGGGGGTAGAAAGGAGGGTGCCCAGGTCTCTCCCACTGATAAAAACATGCCAGGCTACATGTGTAAGCCTGTTCCCTCCTTACCCCAAACTTAGACTTAGTAATTGCCTCATAATTCAGACAAGGAAAAATGAAAAGAAAGGCAACACTTCTTCCCCAAAAAATGCACAAAAATCAACATATAAACAAAATAAACATAAACATATAAAAATAAACATATAAACAAAACTCCATCTACCCCTTTTGTATGAAAATAACCTTTAATGAAAAAGAAAGTAAGTGTGTGTGCGTGAGTGTATGTGTGTGTACAGTGTGTGTATAGTGGCAGGGGGGTGAGGGGGAGTCATAAAAACTTACGGGGTCTCCGTCCTCTCCCCTGTGTCCTTTGCTGCCTTTCAGACCTTGAGAACCCTGGGAAGAAAGACAGAACAATAAATTGTAGTCACCCTCCCCGTCAAGTCAAACTTGTGAAATCATTAGGCATTCTAAGCGAGTCCCTTCCTCCAACTTGGTTGCAGTTTTTGCAGATGTGGCCGTGAGTTTGGGGAGAATCTGACAACATCTGGAGCTGGCTTTTGTCCTTGCACTCAGCTCTGAAGCCCCTCTGCAGGAGGCGACACTCCTAATCCTTGCGGGAGGCTGACTTTTGGAACCCACCAGCAGATGAGGCCCACAGAGCCACACCTGTGCCTGAGTGATTTGCAGGGAGGACAGTCGCGCCAGCCACAACCCTTTTAGCAGACAAACCTATAGCATTTCCAAAGGGATTATTTTATTTTGTTCTGCTATTTTGAGAGCTCAAGGAAGAATAGGCACTTCCAACAAGACTGCATATATTTTAATTGCAGTCATCTCTCCCTTAGCCACGTGTGGTTTAACTGTGTCATGGCTTACCTGTGGCAAACATTTCATTTGAGTTTGCTTTCCCCACCCTCTAACACAGGCCCAGCTGGCTGATCATATACCAGGGGGTTTGTGCTTCTGGAACATAATTCTAATATTGACCTGAGCAAAGTAATGGAAAACACTGTGCTAAACAAAACATCACAGTGCAGTAAAAAGTTCAATATAAATTGTCCTTCCATAAGGATGGACAGTGCAGAACTCATGAGCAAGCACTGTTGATCTCTTTTTTTAAAGAAAAACTTCATTTTTATTGTGATACCTAAAATCCACTTGAAACGTACATAAAAGTGTATAAAATATGAGTGTATAGTTTAATTATTATAAAGTAACTTTATAGAATAATCTTATAATTTTTATATATAAGGTATATGTAGCCACCACACAGGTCAAGAAATAGAGCATCCCAAGCACAGCGCCTGTCCCAAGTCACAATTCACCCCTGGCCCCTCTCCACAAGGGCACTCCTGACTTCTGATAATAGTTTCTTGCCTTTTAAGAATACTTCACCAGTTAAGTATTCCTCCCTAGATATAATATCTTTTAATAAATGGAATTTTACCACACGTATTCTTCTGTGTTTTGCTTTTCTTTTGGTCATTACCTTGTTAGTAAAAGTTATTCATGTTGTTGTGTGTAGCTGTAGTTCATAAATTTTCATTGGCATATATTATTGAAAATATCATGACATATTTATTCATCCTATTATTGTATAATATTTTATAATTTGTGTTTTAAAGGGCTATGAATCTGCAATGCTATGATCATTTTGTGGTTCAATCTCATTCTGTTGCTGATGAAGCACAACTCTTATTTATTTATTTATTTACTTATTTACTTATTTTTCAGGCAATAGGGTCTCATTATGTTGCCCTGGCCGGTCTTGAACAATCAAGTGATCTTCCCACCTCAGCCTCCCAAGTAGCTGGGATTACTAGTGCAAGCTACTACACCCAGTTTCATCTCCACTATTTTTTACTTCTTATCACCTTTCAAACTTTCTAAAGCAAGTACAAAAGTATAAATTGCGAAACCAAGAAGCAACATTGCCAAGGGTATGTAAGAGAAAAGGGAGTTATTCTTGCTAGCAGTATCAAAAGTGAGCTCTCCTGACCTGGATTTTATACCAGAAAAGTCATATGAAATGTCCAAAGGAATTCCATTAGCATGGAGTGAAGGTTGTAAAATCAATCAGTCAGTCTCAGTCCTACCCGTACCAAATCACCAAATCAAAACACATTAGATAAAATAGTATCACAGGTGAGTGGCACCTTCATGGCTTGTGGTCCTCGGGTCCCATGAGGTCCTGGAATTCCTGGACATTTGCAGAATGTATAGCAGCAAGTCCTTTCTGCAATGTTTCCCTGGGGAAAAAAAAGTAAAGCTAAGTGAATAACAATTGTCAGAAACTTTATTTCATAAGAATTGTACTCATACAAATCATAATCCACCACCTACAAGCCCATCTTCTCCCTTTGGATGAGGGGCTGCAGAGAATAAGAGGTGCTTTCTGAATTTAACACTGCAGAGAGGGTGCCAGGCATTGCACTGGCAACATCGCCTCTCCAATGGAAATGACCTCTGTTTATAGACAGGGCATCCAGTATGTGGATGGCCATGACCCAACTTCGCCTAAGACTTGTTGGTTTCTGGTTGACAGTCTTCTGTTTCCTGGAATTTCTGCAACACAGTTGGGGGTTTTTAAATTCAGTTATGAGTTGGTTGGTTTTTTAGTTCCTTATGCATTCATTTAGTGAGATGACAAAGAATGAAAGAATACGTAAAAACAAAATACTATGCTGTGGTCTTCCACACATTTTTATATACTAAGGACCATGCCCTTAATTTAGTAGGGGTAAACAAAGGCAGTCTTTGAAAGTTCTCATCAAGATTCCAATTTAGTTCCCATGGCATTTTGAACAACTGGGGATTTTGTTCAACAACTCACCAGGTACTGTGATAGTTTTTTGCCCAGCTCTCTCATTCCAATAGTCAGATGAGTCTGGTAATTGAATCCTTTTCCAAATTCAAAGCTAGAAAACTCATGATGAGCAGTTGTGTTAAGCGACACTACCAGTAGAGCATCAAGTCCTATGCGGTAAGAACCACAATATAAATAAAGCAAAGGGGTTGTACATGAAAAAGAAGAAGGCATAATAATTCTGCTCAGTGAACATGATTTAAAGAATTGAAAAGGGGAAAAAACAAACATAAGAGGAAGGAGTACTCCTGACATATGAAGAAACTAACAGTGAATTTGCCTGCATTTTACGAATATGCACCAGCTCTGGTCCCTGACTTTTACATGAAATCCCCTGATAAAAGTATTCAAGAGAAACAATTTACAAATCTATAGAAAAACACTAATAGAAAACTGTGTTCCACATCTTACCACCAATGTTGGTGCAATTCTTGGACACTGGAAAGTGATTTTTAAGAAAGGGCATTATTCATCTTCAGAGAGATTTTCTGAATTTTCCTGAATGTAAATTAATGATAATTCTCAAGTTATTCCCAATTTCAAACACCCCTGGGAGGCCAGGCCCTGAGAACATGAGGAAAACCCAGGGCAATTGTCTCAGCTGAACTCCTGACCACATCCAGTTCATTCATTAATTCATCTATTCACTCATTAATTCATTTACTAGTTCATTTACTTTATTCATCTTTTCACTAAGCAAATTTTAAAATTATTAATAGGAGCCTATTATGCATTAATCATTGTATAATACAGAGATACAAATGAGTAAGTCAGGCTTCTTTCCTTCCCAGAGTTATTGGTCTAATGGAACAGAGGGTCAAGAATCGGATAGTTGCTCTGAGAAACATCAGGGTTCTATGAAAGCCTAGAGGAGAAGCTCCTAACCCATTCTTGGAGAGTCATGGAAGGTTTCTCGGAAAAATTGATGTCGAAGCTGATTCTAAAGGATAAATGTAAGTTGGCCAATGGAAAGAACCAGAGAAAGAAGACGGAGAGAGTACCTGGGGAGGAAAGGAAATAGAGGAAGCTCTAGGCAAGGACAGAGAGAAGTGAGGCTGTAAAGTACATTGGAGGCCAGGCACAGTGGCTCGCACCTGTAATTCCAGCACTCTTGGAGGCTGAGGTGGGTGGATCACCTGAGGTCAGGTATTTGAGACCAGCGAACTGGTCAACAACATGGTGAAACCCCATCTCTACTAAAAATACGAAAAAACAAAAATAGCCAGGCATGATGATGGGCACCTGTAATCCCAGTTACTCAGGAGGCTGAGGAGGGAGAATCGCTTGAACCCAGGAGGCAGAGGTTGCAGCGAGCCGAGATTGTGTCACTGCACTCCAGCCTGGGCAACAAGAACAAAAATCCATCTAAAAAAATTACATATATGTATAACCTTGGAGGAAGAATGGTAAAAATAATTTCATATGCCTAGAATGCTGAATTTAAGAAATAATTTGGCTGGGCACAGTGGCTCACTCCTGTAATCCCAGCACTTTGGGACACTAAGGTGGGCGGATCACAAGGTCAATAAATTGAGACCATCCTGGCTAACACAGTGAAACACCATCTCTACTAAAAATACAAAAAAATAGCTGAGCGTGGTGGTAGGCACCTGTAGTGCCAGCTACTCGGGAGGCTGAGGCAGGAGAATGGCATGAACCCGGGAGGCAGAGCTTGCAGTGAGTCAAGATTGGGCCACTGCACTCCAGTCTGGGTGACAAAGCGAGACTCCGTCTCAAAAATAAATAAATAAACAAATAAAGGTTGAAATTGGAAGCTGAGGCCAGGTTCTGCAACGCTCCCAGGCCATGTTAAGGAATTTGATCTATATCCCAAGAACAATGAGAAGGTATTGAAGGGATCTGTGCAGAGAAAGAGACACAACCGAGCAATAAAACAGGATGTATTGTGGCCTTTAGGGAGGTTTCCTGTGGAAGCTGAACCCTAGAAGCCAGTCTGGGCTACACCAAGAAATTCTTAAACAATGCATCTCATTTGACAATTAGTGGAGTCTTCCATCGCTGCATCTTACTCTCAACTTCTGCATTGAGCTTCCGGCTCAATCTGAAGCTATGACACGGACAGAAAATATATAGTGAGAAGCGCTTTTCCAAATCCATGTTGCTATCTTTCATATGGAAAATAA